AGCAAATAATTGGATTGTTGTGGATTATACGACACCGTTGGCTTCTGATGCTGTTGCAGTTGCAACATTGCCGCTGTGGCCATGGTAGACCATGTAGGTTCCACCATTGTCCCAGACCAGAGCCCCTCTCAGGGGTGACATTTTACAATCGGGCAATGTACCTGTTTGGCTTGGCAATTCTCGTTTTTCCGCCAGTCGGTAGAAGCGGGACGAAGGAGTGCAAAGTGTATGCTGTCACCTCATTTCTGCATATTTCTTATCCCTGGCTGTGGCTGCTGCTGCTGCAGCGACTGTCTATCGTGATAATGTTGTGCTGATGGTACAACGGATAAGACCAGGCGAGCCAGCGAGTGGGTATCAGATTGGGCCGCTTAGTACGGGCCGACCAGGAGGCTTCTTGGGCAGCCATAAACAGTGTTTCGGACCGGGTGTACAGTGTCATAATTTTAATTTTATGTGGCCCGTCGTGGCACCGGGCCCGTTCGGAAGAGCAGGAGAGCAGGAAAGAGACTGGAATTGGCTTCGTTATCACTGAAAGTGTGTGTCAAAAGGCTTTGCTTCAGTGCAATTTCTGTGGCCAGGGAAATGTCTTAATCAGCGACCAGGGATGCGCCCTGCTCCGGCCACCCCACTGGTGACCACAAAAGTAGGCAAGTGGAAGAAAAAGTTTGGCATAAAATGTTTACAGTTTTAAAAGTCAGCGAAGCGCGACCATTTAATTGTGGCCAGTGAGCAAGAGTCTGACTCGGGCACCGAATTTATGGCCCCTCTGAAATCGCGGGTTATGCAATAAAATAATTTCTTCTCTCAACTCTGCCTGCCAGTCAGTCAGCCAGGCAGCTGGAGCACCAAGCTAGAATCATAGAAAGTATAACGAATATATTAAACGAAAGCGTACCAGGGAAGCCTCAGAAAAAAACCATCTGCGTGATGGAAACTAAAATCTACAAGAAACCAAAAACTCCGGACCAGAACCGGCCTGAAGAAACCAACATTCAAGGGATTGGATTCAATCTCACGTTGGGTTTTTATGTTCTAGTCGCCGCCCCCAACGGTAGGCATCGCTTCGGCCCTGCCCTGCCTCAGTGTCTGTCTGTGGCCTCATCAAAGAGTTGAGCAAAAGTTTAATTTGATGACGGTGGAAAGAGCATGCAACCAGTTCAGACCCACGGAAAAGGCTGAGAAAGAGCGCAGTATTTATTTTTTATGAGCACTTGTCAGCGACCTCATGTAGCGCCACTCTGTCGTTCGGGAACCACCAAACCACCGTGGGCACACAACCAGTGAAACTGTCCGATCAGAAAAGCCGCAACAAAACAGTATCTGGGGGGGAAAACTTGACAGATATGTAGTTTCATAAAGGTAAATTATTTACATAATTTTTAAATGAAATATATTGAGTTTTTTCGTTTTCAGATTTGTAGTTGATTGTAGGGTCTCTCGTTTAGGATAGCAGCATTTTTATTTGCAAGCGAAATCTTTAAATTCACCCACTGTGCTCTCGGCTGGTTCTGGAAGGTGCCTGCACTCCTCCATGTCTGATCCGGAGGTCGCTCGCTCTGCTGCACAATGCTCTAAGTTTCAGTTACCGCCTGGACACTCGGTCGACAAGGTGTAGAGGGCTTAGAAGAAGAGCTGATATAAGCACAGGGGCAGCGCGATAATTAAAATGTTTAATGGGCATCTTAAAAAATCATTTTACGCCGAATTTATGCGACGGAGAGCCCAGACCCCGACAGACAGACCTATAGGCAGAAGGGGGGGGAGGCACCAGCGGTCCGTTCCAGCGTCAGCCGACTAACAATGGGGCGCTAATCTAATCTGCTTGCCTATAAAATTATAGACAGAATCCCATTGAGCATGGGCTTGTGTTTCTTGGAAGCCGGAAAAGTCCTATTAAAGAACGCTTAGAAATGCAAATGTAAATGTTAATGAAACTATTAAGAGCAGCGTTGGAGTTGGGCTAAGTTGTGGTCTTAAGAAGGGGTAGTTGGTGGTCGGCACTGGTAGCGGTATCGGCTTGTGGTCTAAGCGGCAGCCTACCGTACGCACAGTCCAATAGACAGCAATCCAAACTAATTTTCCAGCGCATTTAACACGTAAAAAACACAAATCATCCACAGAAAACTAGTCGATCGGCTGATACGAGTGGTGTGTAGTCACAACAAAACCAAACCCCAAAATAAAAATAAAAATGCAAATACTCGTAATTATTGTATACGTTTAGGCAGACGCCGGACGAGGGCCTAGAATCGAATTATCACCATGGGACGTCATAGTCGGCAAAGCCCAGAGTGCGAGGCCGAGGAAGACACAGGGGGAGAGGCATGGGCAGAGGTAGGAGCTGCTCGTTGCGCTCTCACGAAACCCGGCAGCGAAAATTTGGCGAATTCCGTGAACGGGGAAGGTTGGGTCGGGCTGATGTTGCTCCTGAAGCTGGTGGTGGCGTCTGGGAAATCCGCTGCAGCTCAGTTGTTTCTATTGTTGTTGTCATTGTTGTTGTTTCGGTATACTCGAACATACACTCGTACACGTGTAATCGGAAGAGCCAGACCCAGCGGGTGGCACTTGAGACTTCATCGCGCAATCCCGATCCCTGTGCGCGTTACAAATGCTCTCACGTTACAAAACGTGGCCAGGGGGACGGGAACGCCCTGCCTGTCCTCGTTTTCAGCCGTATCCCGGCCCTCTCTCAGCGTCCAGTCGGACCACACGTCGGTTTACACTTCGGTGTGCACAGCGCTCCGCTCTGTAAGTATGTATGGATTTCCGCCCTCCAAACAGAGATTCCCGCCCGATCCGTCTCTTTAGGGTTTCAGCCCATCCATCGCTATCATGGGGTCGAGTCGTCAGGGCATCGAGTGGCCGCGAGTGGCCCGAGTGCAACGCTGCGCCACTTGGCCACGATTCCATTCAGCTGTTATCATGGCAGCCTCCAGTAGCCCATCTCCTCCCTGCGCGATTTAATCTATTTGCGTAATCAAAGGAAAGACTTGACTTTTTACTGTTTGCCGTGAAACAACATTAAATATGAGCCAGAGCCAGCAAGAGCTATACTGGGGACGGGACGTGGACGTGGACGTGGCTATCGTGTTGTATCAGCGTTGATGATCAGCAGTTCCCGCACATGCACACATGTCCATACGAGTACGAGGCGACACAAGCGGGGCTACGCCTTCTTTACACTCTTTTCGGGGCAGAGCGAAACAAGTGCAGCGTCACCAGGATGCTGAACGAAGCGATGCAATGCGATGCGATGCGGTTATCTCGCAGAGGTAGGACAGAGGGCCTTGTCGGGGATTGATGGGCGCCGTGTGGTGGTGGGACACAGTAGTGTTTTGCCAGAAGCCGAAGCGGAGACAAGTGCATATCCGCATCACAAAGCTTTCGATGCGGTTGTGTTTGAGGTTGGTGGTTAGTTAGTTTTGGCTAGAGAGCGAGGCTAAAACTGGAACTGGGAACGATAGCGGGACCGGAGCGAAGCGACCATAGTGTTGTCCGCATCCAGAATGTGTGTGAGAGTATCAGATTTCGAGCCCTCGAAAACATAATCATATATTAGGCGTTGTCACTTTGACATTTCGCCTGCTCTTTTACATGGCAATAATCATAATTCATTTTTCTCTCGCTCCCCAGCCGGCCGGTCTCTCGGCTTTAGGGCGCAGGAGGGCGTGTCAGGACGGTGGAGCCCATGAAATAAAATGCTGTAGAATGAACTCTGCTGAAGCTGACGCTGACGCTGAAGCTGTACGGGTAGTCTGAAACAGTTTTATGAGTTGGTAGCAGGGACTCCGCCGCGCCGCGCCGCGCCTCGTCGCCGTACCCGTAGTCTGCCGTAGCTGACTGCATCCATGTTTAATATTATTTATGGGGCTCGCGTCTCCCGCAGCAGTACAAGGTACATACATATACGTATGTACATCTGCATACATGTACATACGTACATGTGCGGCCTGAAGAACGAATCCGAGTGAAAGATCGGGTGAGAGTCGCCGTCGTCGCGACTCGTGTAGCGACAAGATGTGCGACAAGGCGAAATGACAAAAATCTCGGCGTCACATCCAAATAATATTCAAGAAAATGAAAACACAGATGGAGAGTGGGAACTGGAACGGGAACGGGAACGGGAATGGAGACGGGAAAGGGAACAGGAACGGGAACGGGAACGGGAATGGGAGCGAGGGCCTGTCTTGAAGTACGCTCTACGAGCATATGAGTATGATAAATTTATATGGAATTGTTTTGGTGTCTACATTGGGTGTTTTATTTTTGCCAGGAGCCATCTAGCACTCCAAAATGTGAGAATGAGTATGTTGAGCGAAGTTGAAACTGAAGTGAAATGCGCCAATTATTTTGATTAATGTCAAAAAAATCGCGTGTCTTGCGCATTTGATGTTGCATTTCCTTTCCCCTCTGCTGCCAGGAAAAAGGCTGCCTGCCACAGTCATTCGTAATGCGGGCTCCGCTCGTCAATTTTGGCACGAAACCAGCAACTCCCCAATGATTATGGTGTTGCTGGTAATCTTTGATCTGTCATTTGCGAAAGTGAAAACAGTAGCCAGGCCACAGATCGAAGCCCAAAAACGAAAACGAAAACGAAAATGAAGACGAAGACGCAGGCGTACACGATGACGATGTCGATGATGAGTAGGCGTTTGAGTTTGAGTTTGAGTTCGACTTTGAGGGCCACTCATTGTTGGGACTTGGTCTGATCCGTCTGGGTGCCCGTGTCCGCGATTACGGGGACAGCAGACAGTAGCCGCAGCTTCCTGCCAAACATATTATTAGTTATGAAATTATAATTCTGTTGGGGAAGCCGACACAAATATACTTAGCATGATTTTTATAAATATCATGCCGAATAATTGTATCGAGTTGCCGGGTCGGGGTGTGCGGAGGAGTACAATATACAATACGTTGGTAACTTTCGTGGTTTTGCCAATTCCCATAGAATATAGAGGATTAATTCTAACAAATATGAATACATTATTTTCTTACAGTTTTTTCGGTACACGCCGTTGCTCCCGCTGTCTGGCTTCCATCAGCTCCAATGAGCTAGTGATGCGCGCACGGAACCTGGTCTTTCATGTGAATTGCTTCTGCTGCACGGTCTGCCACACGCCCCTCACCAAGGGCGACCAGTACGGCATCATCGATGCACTCATATACTGCAGGTAAGCATCACTTCGCCGCTAGACCGCTTTGCTTTATACGCCAATAACACTTGATTGTCCAACAGAACCCACTACAGCATAGCGAGGGAGGGAGACGCCGCATCGTCCAGCATGAGTGCCACGTATCCATACAGCTCGCAGTTCGGCTCGCCGCACAATGACTCGTCGAGCCCACACTCGGATCCAAGTCGGAGTATTGTTCCTACGGGCATCTTTGTGCCCACATCACATGTCATCACCGGGTTGCCGCAGCCGGCGCGACAGAAGGGCAGGCCGCGCAAGCGCAAGCCCAAGGACATCGAGGCGTTCACCGCGAATATAGGTATGTTGGCTATGGTAGGCCATAGGTTGTAAATTCCGAACTGTTTCGAGGTACGAGTGGGGGCCATAAAAGTAGCAGCATGCAGCGTGCAACATGCAGTCCCGGTCTTTATGGCCACTGGAGCTGGATATTGGCGCCATTGAGGCATTAGCAATGGCAGAAGCAGCTTTTATGGGTCTTCGTCATAAAACTCGGAAGGAGCTGTAAAAGTCTACAACAGTTTCTGGATTGATTGCAGATCTCAACACAGAATACGTGGACTTTGGCCGAGGATCGCACATGGGCTCCTCGTCGCGCACCAAGCGCATGCGCACCTCGTTCAAGCACCACCAGCTGCGCACCATGAAGTCCTACTTTGCCATCAATCACAATCCCGATGCCAAGGATCTGAAGCAGTTGTCGCAGAAAACGGGTTTACCAAAGAGAGTCCTACAGGTGAGTTGGCGAAGCACAACCTGATGACAGTTTCACATTTGCAACGCTTCCCATTCCTAGGTCTGGTTTCAAAATGCCCGGGCCAAATGGCGCCGCATGATGATGAAGCAGGATGGCAGTGGCATGCTAGAGAAAGGAGACGGCACCCTGGACCTGGACAGCATCTCGGTTCATAGTCCAACATCATTTATAATGGGCGGACCCAATAGTACGCCGCCCCACAACATGGACTAACATCTGCTCAGGGAAAATGGGAACGATGCTGCCTTCAACATGGAGCTCGTGGGCCTCCGCCAAAGCTGCCCCTGTCCCTGTCCCTATCCCTGTCCCTGTGCCGGTTCCTTCCGGGAACAGAGCCTATTGGTGGACCTGTTGAGTGGCAGTGACAATTAGATCGTGTGGGACCCGAATTGAATACCACATTCAAAACTTCAAATATACTACCCCTAGAGAATGTTGTTAGACAAGCTAGCTAGCTGCCTGCCTAGCTGTCGAAAAGCGTATAACTTATGTATTTTTGTAGTCGCTTCTAGCTCGTTGCCAGCACTAAATATTGACTGGGTTTCAGACGACAGCTCTCAGCTCTCAGCCATGACATGACTGCTCCAAGGCTTTCGGTAGTTGGTATTTTTGCGCTGCAGGTCATCCCCGTGTTGTTTCTATTTCTATCGTTCATTTGTAAATATGTACTGAAACCTTATAGCATATGTACTGGCTTAGACACCGGATATTGTTAATATATTAATATTATTTATAGCGTACACTTCATCACATATGTATATAAAATGCATATATCTATATACATATGCCCACAAATATGCATAATATATATTTATATGTATTTAATATTTATTGCCCAAATTTAAATAGTTAGAGATGAATTTAGTTTAGCGAGAAGCGGTCTATAAAATATAGTGCATATATCGTACCAGTAGAATAACTGTACTATATTGTACTTTACAAGCTTCAAACGCGATGAAAGTTATGAAAGCAATGACATATAACCGAAGCAAAGTGAGCAACAAGAGATTTGTACTTACAAATAGTTAACCATAAGTCGTACCATAGAAGCCAAATAAAAATTATTAAAACAATCGAAGATACATATGTATACACTTGTTGAATCTAATCTAATATCTAACTCTGGATCACTACTTTGATGGAACATTTTTTGAATGGAAGATCATGTGGCCTTTGTGTGCTAAGGCCGTGACAGGCAAGTACTCATAAAATGTATTTGCTCTTAGTTATGTTTGTACCACGTACTTGAAGAGTAATTAAAGTGAGCTTTAGCAAATCGAAATTTTCCAATTAATTCCGACCCACAAAAAATGGAAATATTGGTCCGGACAAGGAGGGAGTCAAACTAGTACGTACATTTATTTTATGTCGCTGAATCCGAGGTTCATTTTTGCAGAATAACTTGATCTTGAATGCTTTTGAATAAGTTATATATTCAGTAATCCATGCTACTGCGTCCGGACTATGCAGAGTCAATGCTTTTTCTCATCCACTCATCGATTCGGTGCTACAATAGGCTCAAGGATAAAGGTAATAAAGCTGATCATCTGGTATTGAACAATTGGAATACCCATCTTTATCCTTATCTATGGGCTAAAAATCCAACAGACATTTTTAAACTAGAGATTAAATCACAGCAATGATAAAACAATTTGTTACCACATGTGAAAAATAATTTATTACAAAACATTACAACTTAATTGAGAGTGAGATTGAGAGTGCTTTCTTACATGCAGCTTCACTTCACAACTTCACAACTAGAATAATCAATCTCAGTTCATGCAGCTGTTAATATGCCAGAAAAATATATATGCGTGTATAATTTAGATTCGTTACATTCAAATAATTAATATAAAAGATCGATTTGTCTAATACAAGGGGTTTGTTAGCGTTTTTTTTGTTGTTGTTTTTTTTTTGTACTTATTTCTTGTGTTATAACACAAGAAGAAATGTCTTTTATAACTGTCATGAACAATTTCAAGTAGCTTAGAATGCGTACAGCTAAGTTGCTTAACGAGCGCAGATAAGGCAAATTTTATAAACAATTCAAGGCGCTAAAAATCCTTCAACTTCGCTATCGATGATGTTGCGCTCGCTCTATCGACCCTGCTTTTGGTCTCTACGTTTGTGACACTTTGTAAAACACAGATGTAACAGCTCTATGGTTAAGCAGTCCAGCTCCACTATGTGCATTTTAGTTGGGACTAGTTAAGGATTAATTCAACTAGGAATTTCTAAGCATATGTAGTATGTTCTTGTTATGTTTGTGTGTACGAGTATGGGTGTGGTTTACATTTGTGAGTGTTAAGTGTGTTAAGATTAAATACATTTATACCTAGAGAGCATGTATTGCCGGTTGCAATGAGCACTATTTAGCTGCTGTTCTTGACGCCCAAAAAGGCAGAACTATCCCCGCCGATTCCTTCCCCCTGCTGCCCTGCGCCGTCATCACAGGCAGTTGGACTATTTGTCACAGCGGCCATGGCCTCACGGCGCTGACGCTTCATCTCCAGTAATTGCTTCCTCTGGGCTTCTCGTCGCAGTGTTGCTATCGAATTCGCAGCAGCGGATTTCGATCCATTCGCACTCGCGATTTTTGTCGATCCGGCAGTTTTCGCTTTAAAAAGTCCCGTTTTCGTCGATTTTATCGTTTTAGACACCGTCTCCACCGCGGGCGGTTCAGCTGTGGCCTGGAATAACCCACACAAACGGTTATAGTGAATAAGATGCTCATTTTTTAGTACCCACCTTCCAATCATTCATTTTAAGCTGATCAATATCGGCAAATATGGAATCAACCTGGGTCACCTGTAAATAAACCATGTCCCAGAATCCTTGCAAATCGTCGACTGTTGTGGGAAACGCATCCTCTGGTGAGGGATTCAAATTGTTGTGACATAGGCCTGCAAACCAGAAATAAGCGAAATTAATTGCACACTAATGAGTAAGTAGCTGTTGATCACGCACCCTCAAATTGTTTCATTTTCTTCGAGGCCAGAAGACGGGCCTTCCCAGAGGCAGCCCGCAGCAGTCCAAAGGTGTCCTCTGTGATATCAGGATTATTCTGCGGAAATTTATGTTTCATATTGTTAACAAACGAACAACTTCATTAAATATCAGGTAGGTCTCTTACAGTCAAGGCATCTATGTACTTTTCAGCAAGAGCGGCCAGCGCTAACAGACGATCCTGTTCGCCTTTGAGTATTTTAAGAAAATGATTTCCATCCTTTTCCATTTGGGGGGCTGTAATAAGTTTGGTGATCCCAATATACTGCTCAGAATCCAATTGGGCAAATTTTACGGGCTCGTGGTCAACAACATCGATTGGAGCTGGTGCTGACTGTGGTTCCTCTGTGGCCAGATTCACCTCTGAGGCACCTAAGGACCGAGGTACACTTCGCTTCGGCGATACCGTGGGTAACTGGGCACGGAACTCATGACTTAGGTGCCTGAATACAGGCAAGTCCACTTCACCGTTTTTGCCTGATAAAGGCTCTATCTGTCTCGGCGATACAGCCTGGGAGCAATTATTGTGCAGCTTTTTCCGGAATTCTCCGTAGTCCTTGCTGGGAGAAAGCTGTTTAAATTTTCGCGCCAACTCCGAGTTTTGCGGGCACTCCACTTCAAGCTGATACTTTGACGTCCACGCTGAAGATGGTGAATTGGCCCGGCCATGTTTCTTGGGGCTGTAGAATCCTTGGGTCAAAGCACTCGCGCCGTATAGGCGCTCAACACGCGACTTTATGAAGCTGCTAGTTGAGCCATTCGTGCCGCTGCTGCTTCCATTGGCACTGCCATTACATTGGGCGATACCAGAATCTGCTCCATTCTCCGGACCGTGCCCCTTATTATTGTTGCTCGCCTCGACCAGGCTGTACTTGCTGGGCGTGCAGGGCTGAGTGATGAGCGGCATGCTATTGAGAACTGGAGCCGCCAGGGAATTATTGCGCTTGCAATACTGCAGACTACTGGTGGAGGGGCGGATGGGCGAGACCTCACGCGACTTATTTATGTCTTGACGAATCTTCGAGTCGTAGGTGGTTAGATTGGAGTATCCGTTGACGCTGCAGGCCAAGTTCAAGTAGCTAGGCTTTTTCTCAGCTGCGGCGGTGGCGGTGGCGGTGACAATGGAAGAGGCTTCAGCGCAAGCATCGATGTCAACATCGACGCCTGCAGCGTTCGGCTCATTGGCGGGTTCGACGGCAACAGGTGACAGCACCATACGCACCAAGCCCGTCCCGGGATCTACAAAGGCGGTCGTAGTGTACTGTAACTGCTGCGGCGATCGCAGAATGCAGCGTTCACGAAGGTTAGCAGTGAACTCGCGTGTTATGTCCTTCACAGAAAGCGGCGTTGGAAAGTTTAGGCTGCCACTGGTATCTGCAATGTGTCATAGAAAAAAGATTCAGAGTTAGTCTCTTTTGGCCAATCAAGACGCGAACGAACGCAAGCAAAGAAACAAAAAATTCAGCAAAAAGCAGGCAGAAGTAGCTGAAACGCAAAACAAAAGGAAAACCAATAAATAAATTCGAGGCAGCATTCAGATTGAGGTTAGGTTCGGCAGCAACCCACATACCATATACCATATACCATATACCTGATATATCGGAAGAGTCCGCATCTACATCGAGTGAACAGCTGCCAATGGAGTCCAAGCTGCGATCCATGGGAACTTTGGCTTTGAGTTATGGAATCTGTGTACTGTGGGAGCCTTCACAATTCTAAAATTTGTGGGGAATAATATAACAGATTGACTTCCGGAAGCCGGGCTACACAGACCAGGCAAACGCTCGCTATCTTGCTCACAACCAAATTAACGCCCATTTCTAATTTACTGTGCTGTGCACTCGGAACAGCGCTGCTACCCAAAGAGAAATGCAATTATTTGTGTAATCGTTAAAACAAAGCACAAGCACTTGGTTGGTGTTGGTGGTTGGCCGAGACACTGCCCGGGCACCGCGAACGAGGGCGGTGGCAATTATTTGCCATTTATGCAAAGCGGAAACTCGACGGACTACTGATCGTTGCGATCGCTCTTTTTGGGCACCAGACTGCTGCGACAAATGACCGAGCTGTGACTGTGTTGGGGTCTCGAGGGCAACAATATCAAGCTGAAGATCAATGGAAACGACTCTTGGTTGAGCTGCTCTCCAGTTTCGTGCCGTCCATATGCACGTATGTATGGATGTATGCATGCACACATTGTTGCGTTGCTGCCGCGATCGACAGCTTAGAAGATGGGAGCAGCTCTAACGGCACTGTCATCTACAATTCCAGTTCCGCTTTGCTAACTTTTTGCCGTTGCTTCGACACTCCGTTCCGTTGTCTTGTTGTTGGAACTGAACTAATAATTGGCACCGAAAATCAACTCGGCCTCAAACCGACACAGACGCAGACGGAGTAATGTACATACAACGGACATACTCACACAACTATTTATAATCCGGCACAACGGAGAAGACGGGAAAGGCGAACGCAACAGAAAACATGACGATGATGATGTCGCCTGGTATTTGGAGTTTGCAACCAACACAAGGCGACAGAAACAAAAATGAGACAGACGGAGCACTCACACGCAATATGTTCTATTTTAGTCGCTAATATGTATTATAATGACCTTACAAAGCCAACGCAGTGGAAGCTCCTGTTGTAGAAGTCAATTCCCTCCAGTTGAATTTATTGGAAAAATATGGAAAACTGCGGATGAAAACACTTTCGTACAGTGTGACCGCGGATTGGTTAATAAAGTATGCCCGTCCGACCCGAACTTAGCCCACGTGTCCCCCCTCTATTTAAACAGTGTTTCCACTGTGTTTCCTTGAGCTAAACTGCGAAATAAAATATTTTTGTAAATTTTCCTTCCTATCCTTCCTCATTAATTACAAAAACCTCACCATATCTCTCACCTCTTAAAGGTTAATTATTTTCGTGGAGTGTATTTTAATACCCACTGGTCGACAATGGGTTAATTGTTCTCTGGCCATGATCAAGTCAAATTCGTCGATTTTGATATTCGATTTGATATACATAACTATGCAGGACCCTCAACCTGAACGCAATTTTCATTCGATTGATGATTTAATTTTCTATGAGATTAGCTACTTTTACTTTACTTTTCCCTTTTGTTGAATTGTGTCTAAAATAAGGTTTAAAAAATAAGGGGGAAAGCGCGTAGGAATATAGTGACATTGCTGCGATGAAAAATCCCACCACGAAAAGATCGCACAAAATTTGAGCACCAGCTATATTTAACTATGACACTGTTAAATATAGCTGGCGCTCAAATTCAACTTACAAAAACGATTAAATTATTTTAAACTCTGATTTGAATGTCCTCCTCAACAAAATTGAAATGCAAACGATTTTTGGTCTTTAATTATTGCGACTTATTAGCCACTCAACCCATATCACATGAAACCTCCAAACAGTTCCGTTCCGCCATTCTTTAGAAATATATACGCGATATTACCGATTAAGAAATACAATTGGTATAAAAATCGAAGAATATCCAGATAATTTTCTACTCCTTTCAATTATGTGTATTTTTCCTCTGAAAAGGCTAGTTGGGGTTGTTTAGGGCCAATCATTTGATCAGGATTTTAATTCGTTTTAATAAATGATGGAAAAAGCCTGATAAAAAGTTAGGAATTCTATCCATATTTCTCTATACAACTTTACTTAAACATAGAAGTTAACCTACTTGCCGGTCGCATTTTGTAACACTATATCAACTACAACTACATTATTCTTGGCCTCTTTGTGTCGCCACCAGCGACCCAGTCGATGCTCCTGCCCGACGCCCACATAAAGTTTAGTGCCATCGGCATTAAAGGTAAGGCCATTAATGAAGCCAGTTATGGGTATGCTTTGAATCTGTTGCAACTTGCGGGCATTTGGATTCGTTTGCCAGAGTTTCACAAAGCCATCACAGGAGCCTGAATATGATAGAGAACGTAAGAGAAGGTGGAAATAGAAATTAAAGAATCCATCCAACCTGTTGCCACTAAATCCGTATTGACCACCACAGCAATGGCTGTTATCCAGTTGGCGACGCCGTTTTCTCCCACACCATGGGCCAGCTGTGTGGTGCAAATGGGTTTCTTCTTTAGGGCGCTCCACAAACTGATAGCACTGCAAATGTTACGAAATTTTAGTATCTATCAGTCGGCGATATTTACTCTATATTTTACCCATCCACACCACCTGACACAAAGTGTTCATCGTTCATTAACTTGACACACTCAATGCTGTCCCTGTGTCCATTATAGATCAGCTGCGATTCTTCTGTAATCTTCCAAATGCGCAAGGAACAATCTGAACCGCCTGCGGTAATGGCTCGCTCTCGACTCAGGGCATCTATGCTGGTGACTCCTGTTTGATGACCAAATCTGGAGATAAAACGGTTCAAAAAATGTTTGCCTGTTTACACTGTTCTAAACTTACAAACTCTCCACATAGGCCATCTCGTCCAGCGACCAAATCTTCACAGAACGATCCTTAGCTGCGGAGTACAAGTCGTGCGTTCCTTTTCGAAAGACCAGGCCTGCAACGCTATCTCTGTGACCCTTCAGTGTCTTTACATGCTTCATCGTTTGTGGGCACCAGATTTGTATATGAGGACCGCCCTCGGCCAGAGCCATGTACTTCATGTCCGTGGACAGGCAGATGGCTATGACATGGGAGCGTCTTTTCTTGCCAGTTTCGGGCTCTTCTCGGTGTGGCAAAACATCGCATTTGTCCAAGACCTTTCCATTCTGCGTGGACCATTTCAGGACGAACTGAGACTTGGCTCCCGCATAGAGGAATTTGCCGTCTGGACTGAGAGCCAGTGCACAGATTGGCATGTGGTGGAGCTTGTGTTTGAGAACACTTGTCACTTCATTGGTTTTCAGGTTGCCGGCAATGTTCCGTCGCAGTTTACCCACGCTATCCAAGTAGTCAGTCTGTAGGCGCTGCTCAACACTCTGGCCCAGCTCCCGATCTTCGGCACGCTCCGACTCCTGCTTCTCAATCTCCGATAGATACTGCTTGGCCAGACGCAGACGTTTGTCTTGTGCAGTCTCCTCCTCGCCCTCGTCGGAAGAGAAAGCTAAAGTGTTGTGGCCTCCGTCTCCCAGGTCACTGTTGTACTCCTCATCATCACTTTCAATTTCCTCATCCTTTTCCTTGGGACGGCGTTGCTTCTTCGGCACTGGCCCTTCTGCACGGGCATTCTGGAAACCCGATTTCCCCGATTTCGCTGCTGTTTTGACGCCTTTACCTTTTGTTGCTGCGGGAGTCTTTTTCAAACATTACAGGTACGTTTCTTTTTGGGCGGCTTCTGTCTTACCTTCGTTTTTTTGTTGGCCTTGGAGCCTGCTTTGAGAAAAAAGGACGATGACATCTTGATAACTGACCAGTGCTTGGGCTTTAATTCAATATATTTATTATAAAAACTTAGTTTAAAAGCCGAAATAGGCCCACGTGCATACTTTAAAGCGGTATGGATTTTTTAGTACATAGAAACAGCTGTTTCAAAAGTGGCCATTTCTGAGGTCAGGCAACACTGTTTTTGGCGCGCACTCAAACATAAGTGGCACTATGTATATAATTTCTCAAGTAATTTTAACTGCAATTAATTGAAAATTTCAAATAGCACTTTTATTTATGATTAAATTTAAATACTTTATTCAGAATATTTTATGGATATAATTTAAATATGGATAACAATAACTATACGATTGAAAAGTTATCAAGTAATTTGGTTAATTCAGTTTTTCTATTTATTCCTTCAAATTAGCATATACAATGATAGAAAAGCATGTTGATGTGACGCTTGTAGGGTATTGAAATTCGTTTTCCTGTGTTATAAAATTATCACAAAGTATGTTATTCAGTTTTAAAATTGTAAATGTTTTTTATTAAATTTTGCCGTTGTTTTTTCCGCAATAACTGATGATGACGAATGTGTATGGGCTAGAGCTCCTGTTGGGAAGGAGAGCTCGGCCCCTAGTGCGTAATGGGTACCTACAAAGAACAAAGAACGCTCCGCGATGGAGAACGTTTCCATAATTTTCTAAAACTAAGTAACGTGTAAAAATAATTGCAAAAAAATTAAATAGGAATATCTGTGTTCACGCGTTACATGATCGAGCAGAGACCCGATGTTTCGGTGCCATTCTGGACCTTTTTCGTTCGTTTGAGCGTCACATTCCGCAACGCTGGCTTCAGTTCAACCACCGGCTCCGGATCGGCATCGACAGCAGGCGGGGGTGTGACTGGTTTCTGGGCAACGGCAGAAGATGATCCCGCTCCAACAACCGCCGAGACTATCGCCGAAGTTGGTGCCGTTGTGGTCGCGATTGAGTTGCTGTTGCGGCTGTTGGTGCCGTAGCTGCTGCCAATGACCGAGATGGAACTGATATTGGCTGGAGCACTGGTTGCAATCTTGGGGACGAATGTGTTACCGCCGCACAGAACTGGAATGGTGGAAATGGTTTGAATTGCATTCACCTGCTGCGAGGTCTCCAGAGAACTGCAGTTTCCGGATCCGCCTATGACACTGATAGCCGAGACTTGCGTATCCGCTGCCGATCCCATCGTTGCTGCTGCCGGCGTCGATGTGGCGGCCATTGATGAGCCGTTGGAGGCACTATTACTTACTATACTACTTGTATTCTTAGTGATATTTATTTTTATTCTATTAACTAAGCTAGCCAAAGGTAACGCCGGTGCCGGTCCTGCTGCGCTCAGGTTATGCGTCGACTCCTGCGGCTCTCCATTCAGTTCTGTTTCCGCGTTGGCCACTGTCGCCACCGTGTCCGCGGCCTCCAGCTCATCGTCGTTGGCTGGAAGAGTGAGCGAGGCCACCGAAGCTGGTCGCTCTATAGTAGCCGGCGAGGGCGAGGATCCAATCGTTTGGGTTTGTGTTTCTGACATGATACCAAAAGTATGAGCAACGCGTTGAATAACTGTTGTCTGGACACACTTACCGCTGCTGTTGATGGATATCTCATCCTCGGGCAACGGCAGCAGTGGCACTACCGTGCCCACATCTTCGAAGCCATCGTCTTCGTCCTCATCGTACTCGTCCTTGGGCTCCTCTTTGATCTTTACATTTAGCAGGGCCAACCGCGTCTCATCATCCATCTCCTTCTCCACATACGTGTCCAGATCGGTGAAGGGAATGTTTGGCTCTTGGATCTCCACATCAGACTCATTGGCTGATTCATTCTGTGGCTGCTGGCTGCTTTTCTGCTTCTCCCCATCATCCTCGCAGCCAGAGCTGGGTTCCACCTTGTCCTCCGTTTCGTTGCCCATTTCGGCGCGCGTCACATTGGCGGGCACATACTCATCTTCATCATCGTCAACAATTTCAGTGACGCTGGGCTCTTCGTTGGGCAACACAATTACATCATCGTCATCATCATCGAACAGGTTCGGCGCAGGCTTATCGGCGTCTGTTCACCAAAAAGAGAAGAAAGACCATGAACTCAAGAACCTAAGAAGAAAAGCACAGCAGAAATCTCATGCAACTTACCATCTTCCTTACCCCCATCCTCCAGCTTAAGTACCGTGTCCATTGCGTTGTCATCGGTGTTGTTCATGTCCACATCTTTGGAGTCTTTCTGCTCTGCGGGCGGGTTCAACGAAGTCTTGTAGTCCTCATAGCACAATGGATGGTAGATCTTATCCTCGACGCGAATGGCACTGCGCAAGTGCCATTCCTCCAGCTCCTCGTTGTAGAACTGCTCGAATTTCTCGTGGCACATGTCGCAGGAGCGGTCCACATCATCGTTACCGGCTGCGCAGGTGGGCACAGGCGAGTCCAGCGAACGTTGCTGGGAGAGATCATCGATTGCATCGGGGCCTCCTGGCTGGCCCTGCGTATCCAGGAAATTCTTCTCCCGCTCTTCCACATCCTCGATCTCTTCGTACTGCCGCCAGTCATTCAGGTCATAGTACCAGCGCCTGGAGGTGGCCTTGCGGGTCGAGTCACGCTCGCGTCGGTTCTGACGGAAGTGCCAGTCTAAATGCTGACTGTACTTAATGGTCTGCTCGGGCGGGAAACGCACACCACAGCTGCTGCACTGCATGCCCAGGTAGAGCGTAGCCACCACGGCCGACTGCCGGGTCTTGATAGTCTCTGGCCTCTGTAGGTTGATGCGTTTGATGGGCTCCGTTGGCGGCGAAACGTACACCGGTGGGGCGGCTGTGGCTTGGGCATCAGCTGGAGCGGCAGCTGCGGGCGCTTCTTTGGTTGAGGTTGATTCGCCAGCCGATATGCCCGGAATAGAGGTTCCACCAATTATTCCAGACGAGACGAGCTTTTGAAATAAATCATTGATATTCAGATTGCCAAGAGCATTGGATGCAGCTGGCAGGGATACGGCTGGTGCATGTGCTGCTGCCGCTGGCTGCTGCTCCACTACGGGCAGGGGCTGGACAATCATCGGTGGGGGCTGGGGTGGCTCTGCCGGAGCTTCTGTCTTAATGTAGACCATATCAGCCACGTGCGTCTTGCCGGCCACAACGCCCTTTGGCAGGGTTCCGAATCGGATAAAGCAGCTGCGTCCGCCATTCAGCTTCATGCCCTTGGGCAGGCCGCCATATTCGATCTTCTGGAGCTGGCCATCGAGGAGAGCATATTGGAAGCTGTCCACAAACTGTATCGAATGCTGCTCGGCTCCCATCTGGAAGGTCTGCTGTCTGGCATCCAAGAAGAGTGGAACAATCGTGTGGGCATCCACAATCATGTTTATTTTGCCAACCACCAGGTCACGACGCACTCGGCCAATGTCCACATTGGGCGGAGGACCCTCCGCCTTGAGTACGTGCAGGCTGTTGCCAATGGGCAGGGAGACTGGCGGTCCACCAAAGTAGATCTCATACCAATGATCGTCGATATAAAGCTCGCGGGAGGGAAAGCCAAAGCGGATGCGATGTAGGGCCCCATCTAGATGGAACGGCTTGTAGTCGTCGTTGAAGCTTAGCGGCAGAGGCTCATTGTGATCGATCATGATCACGCGCTGGCCATGCTGGAAGCCAATCTCGTGCGGCTCGTCGCCATCCATAAATATGATGGCCACCTGGTTGTAGAAGCGAATCTCTTTGGATCCGCCATCGATGGTGATGCTGCGCACCACATCCGCCATGGGGTTGTCCAGCGAATTGATGGCCTTGGTCATTGTTACGGGCGGAACTGGTGGCAGACCCATCATCGAGGGCGGCTGTGGTGGTGGCGGGACGATCGTTTGTGGCATCACAATCGCAGGCGGCTGTTGCCAGGGCATTCCCCGGAACCCGGGTGGTACAACAGGAAGCGAACTCCCCGCTCCTCCAGCTCCACATCTCTTATTATTATTATTGTTGTTGTTGTTGTTGTTATTGACATTGGCCAACTGCCAGGCGGCCCTTTGAGCAGCCGCAGGATCCACCTGTTCGCCCCATTTGCTGGGCTTTCGTCTCTTGTTCTCTCTCTTGGACTTCTCCCGTTTATTTTGCGTCGGCTTTTCGGTGGATGTCGATCCCTGTATTGGCTGATCCTCATATCTAGGGGAGCCGTCGCTGCGTGGCGAGCCAGAGGAATGATTCTCGTTGCTCTTGAGCTTGGGTATCCGCTTGCGCAGAACAGCATCTCGGGCTGCATTACGCTCCACTTCCGCACCATCAGGTCGGCGACGGGACTCCTTCATCTTGCTGTTCTCGTTAATGGCCACAACCTTCTGGACCAGGTCCTTGTACTGCTCTTGGTTCATATTGTGGTTCTCGTACATCTCCTGAGCCTGGCTGAGGATCGTGCGCATCTTCTCGTCGTGCGCCTCCTGCGAATCATCGTTGGCCTTCAGCTCGGCCAGCTGCTTGAGACGCTGCACCACAGACTGATCTCTGACTTTGTCTGAAGGGATGAGAGATTCATTAGTTCATTAGTTGGCTGTTGTAGTTCGGTGTGCAGGGGGCGGGTGGTGTGATGTCTACTTACCGGACTTACCGGATAGCTTGTTGTGGAGACGCGCAGACTTGGCCAGCTTGGCGCGCAGCTCATCGAGTGATGGCCTCTTGAGCTGCGAATTTGTTTTGGATTGTGGCTACAGAAAACAACAAAAAAAACGGCAATGTAAAATGGTTTCACAAAACTAAACGGAGCTCCGTCTCGAAATGTACCTTTTCCACATCACAGTTGTCCATTGAGTCGTCTTCCACCACGATGACTGCATTTGCACTTCCAGGCTTTACCACAGCGGGAATCTCGCGACGCAGATCAACATCCTCGCTGCCGAAGAGACTAAGGGGAATATGGGAGTTATTGAAGAGCTGCCACGGTTAACCAAGTACTTCTAAAATATCAGATCACTCACGCGTCCAGTTTAGTTGATTTGCTGCGTTTCTGCTGCGGTGGCTGCTCATCCCCGTCGATCTCTGGGGGTAGCGAATCTGCGGAACGCTTCTCCCCAGTGATGCCTTGTACCTGCAGCAGTTTGTTGATGGATTGCTGCAGTGTCTCCGATACATTACCCTGCGGCGAGCTCTGATTGACTAGTGGTGCGGATGCGGCGGCTAATGCAGATGCTGATGCTGATGTTGATGGGCTTAGCAGTAATGCTGTTGATAAATTCGCTGTAGATTTATCTAATTTATTAAACTGTTTTTGTATTTTGAACGACACTTTTGCGGGCAATTTTGAAGAAGACGTAGTACTAGTAGATGATGGCGATGATGCGTTGGAGGCGCTACTAGCAATTTTTGTTGTGCTGCTGATGCTGATGCTGTTGTTGTTGGATGTGAATGTTGTTGTGGTCGTGTTGGCGGTGCTGCTGCTGTTGCTCTGGTCGAGTGGTTTGGTTTTGGCTATGGCGAATGCTGGCGGAGGCGGCGTCTGGGGCCGCCTCAAGTCAATGTCCATACTGGATGCCACCATAATCGGTGGACTTGAAGCTGCAGGAGCTGGAGGGCCTGGTTCAAGTATTTGAAATGTATCTAGAAAATTGATTTTGCTTTTGGGCACACATTTTTGTTCTTACGGAGAGGGGAGAATGAGATGGAAGCAAGAGAACGACCAAAGTAAAATGGAAATAAAAGCAGAAGATGTGCTAAGCAAATTAAATCTGAGCGAGCACCAAATATGAGAAAATCATAATGAAAAAATCATACAGAGAAGAGAGGACCAGGCGCAGGCCTTGGCCTTCAATCACCATCAGGCACAACAGCCAGGCTAGTGTCGAATTAGTGAGAAATTTAATTAAATAATGCAACAAAATCGTGGAGTGCAAGTGCAGTTCCACGGGGCTGGGGGCTCCGTTTGTGGAAGCAATGAGGCGCAATGTTAGGTTAGGCTATTAAAAAAAAAAAATCATAATAGGTGGGATTCAAATGGTATAAATACTAGGGGGAGGGAAGGTAAAGGGGAAAAGTGCCGTTCTACAAATACAAAAATAAGATAGATGTACAAATAGTAGAAATACAAAATACAACTAGCTGCTCTGCTGGCTGGCTCGCATATACAATACATATAGGGAAGCCAACTACAAAATTACGCTTCAAACAATTATAAAATAAATATGATATGTAATATAAGTATGTAAGTAGGTCTCGCTTGTCGATACTCCAATGTTTATAAATTAGTATTTTATGTTCGCTTTGGATTTACACGGGTTGTGTTCACAACAAATTAAAACTGCAGTCTTTATTTTATTTTAGTTTCTCTTTCATCTAAATCAATCAATGTTTTATCAATAGGCGGTTTAAGTACAAAAATTACTTGACAGTTATCATTATTTGTTTTCTTTTGTTCTTTTTTGTTCTGTTTTTTTTTTTTGCTCGTTTCAATTTAGTTTTGTGCTTTTTTTGGTTTCGTATAAATAAACTACAAATCACAACAAAAGGCGGCACCCTGGCTACGTTTTGCATCAATTAAAACAACTGGGAATGCAAAAGGTTTTCAAACACATTTTATTTACAGTTTACGATTTGATTTGGTTTTCAAAAGGTTTTGGTTTCGGTTTTGGTTTTGTTTTTGCTAGGGTTCTTTTTTGATAGCACTCTTAATTATTAAAAACAAAAATTCCATAAATATACTAAGTGAGATCATATGTGGGCAGGCTGCGTTCGTTCTATTCCCCACCAAAAAAAATGGACCAGAAAACATCGAAGGAACGAAGGAGCCGAACAAGTTCGAGTATGCTCGTATAGAGGAAGATTTGAACAAAATTATGAAGGGATGCGCAGTGTAACGATCCTCTATTCAGAACGAAGGGCAGACGAGGACACGACCACGGAAAGTTCATCTCGTTTCACCTTTGTCATTTTCTTGGATAAATCCACAAGATCTCTACTCCAATATAATTCGTTTAACGTTTAACTTTTGCCATTTCCTGGGAGGATTACTTTTACTCTAGATCAGTGGTGTGCACCTGGACCTAGATATTCCACTGACTTTGGAACTATGACCGAAACACGGAAACCAAGCTGCAGTTCTAGATAAAGCAAGATCTTAAATTCAAAATAATACTATGATCTTTCAAATAAATGACTAGCTAAAACGTGATGAACTTTCCGTCTTGAGGTATCGTCTTTAGGATGAATATCACAATTTATCACAGCTTTCACAGCTTGGGTTGCGGGAGGAAGGTAGACAGGTAGAGCAAAAAAACCTTACGATGGGTCAACAACACACGCCCACAAGAGCCCGCCATTCCACCTGCCTAAGCCAGAGAGTGCCGCCAATTTGGTTTGTAATTTCAGCTTTCTCAACTACTTTGCCCGTACGGCCATGAGCTTCGAGGTCGACTTGCTTGTTGGCTAACAAATGTGAGATTAGAATTAAAAGTTGTTTCTTACGTTTCTCTAAATCATTCGTGATGATTGTCACTTTTGCTGCTACTGCCGCTGCTAATGCTGAGGCTGAGGATGATGCTGATGCTGCTGCTGCCACTTGAGATAGGGATTCTGGAGCTGCTGTTTTCTGTTCGGGAGACTTTCCACCACCGCTGCGCAGGTCAACGTCCATGAAGATGGGCGAGCGGCTGCGTGATCGGGTCGAGGACGACTTTCCGCGCATGGACGATGACGATTTGTGTGCAGCATTGCGCTTAGATTTTGATGGCGAGGTGGTTGGAGAGGTGCTTTTACGCTTCGAATTGGACGGTGATCCATTTCGGTCATGTCGGTCGGAATGCTCCTTTGCCGATGGTTTAGATGAGCGTTTGGCAGGCGATAGTGTCGAGGAGCTACTGCTAGCACCACCTCCACTTTTGTGTCGTGCATCAGAGCCCGATGAAGATGTTGAGCTCTTGGATTCACTGCGCTTGCGATTCGATGAGCTGTTTGGATGGGAGCTACTGCCATTGTTGCTTTTGGTAGAGCGGCTGCTGTTCCGTACTGGTGACTTGCTGCGCGATCGACTAGATTTATGCGAAGATGAGGAGGATTTTCCCTCCAGACGGGGATCAGAGGATCGCGAGGGAGCCGCCTCCACCTGAGATTGCATTTGCCGCGCCAAACGTGGATCCCGCTGACGCACAGAGTTCAGTAGAGCCGGATTGACTGGATTAACCCTTGACTTCGCGGAAAAGGGCTGTGTGCGGAAAAACCATGTTAGCTTTCATCAATGTTAATGCTCTATGCCTTTTGGATTACCTGTTGCGCAGCTGGCGTGTTTGGTAACCCAGGATTCCCAGCGTTACGAGAATTTCGAACGACTGGATCCATAATAGGTGGACGAAGAGCAGCAACAGAAGCGGGTGGCGCTGGCATAGCGACATTGGGTGCGACAGCAATAGCATCCGTCGCCTGGTTCAGCTGACGCTCTTGCTCCTCTAAATGCTTCTTGGTTTGCTCCAGCTCAAGCTCCAGTTTGCGTTTCTTGAGCTCCAGAAGCTCGCGGGTCTTAGCCTGGAGTATCTCCTCCATGTCGCTGGGCAGTGTGGAGTTAACCGGCATCCCAGGAACCAAACCCTGTGCGAGAGTACCAAGAAGGAACAACGTTAGCCAATCTATTTGCGATGAGGAGAGACGATTGCCAGCAGACTGCTTACCGTTTTGAGAAAGTCCGGATTAACATGAATGGCGGGATTAACATGTATTTTGTTGGTGGGGTTCTTGGCCGTAATGGGCCAGTTATTATCAAGACGCTTTACCTTTACGTCTAGGGCATACATCTTGGAAGGTGGGAATACCTCGTTCCAGGTCTGTCGCAGGGCATACATCCGTTCGCGCACCTTCTCCAGCAACTGCGACTGGGAATGCTGCACCTACAAGGTGAAGTTGGTTAATGCCAGCGAAAGGTAAACACTTGAGTGAGATGGATGACTTACCGATTCAAACGCGTTGAGGAATATGTTGACTATACATTGTGCGAACAGCTGCACGTAGCTGCTTCTCACATTCTTAATTATCGAATCAATTAAATATAGTATGGGCAATTTAAACTCGGGCGGCACCTGTTTAAAGTTTGGTAAAATAGGTAAGAATATAGAACAATAAGTTTCTACAGAACGTCGCTAGCAGTCAGTCAGACAGAGGGGCAAAGAGAGAGTAAGAGAGAAGTGGGGGACCGACAGACGGACAGACAGACCAAACATCAAATATCTTCCATCGGCGACATCATCAACGGCAGCGGCGGCATCTGGGCACAAGTTAAATCTGCACAAAGCCAGACAAAGGGAAGGATCTGTACAATCCAGTATGAGACTCGTAGAACAGGGGACTGAACAATCTCTAGGTATCCGAGTGAGCGGCTGATGAATTTTGTGTTATTTTTTTACCAATGCGATTACATGGGTTCGAGCAAATGAATTTGTTACGACTGTTTGTATGTCCTTTTCCCCCGGTGTTGGTGAGAGATGTGTTTGGAAAATGTTCTTTTTCTACACGTTTATGATTCAAAGTAGATTTTCTTTAGGATTAGATACGAACATAAGCAAGGTACTACAGGGCTGAAGTATTTCCGTTTAGCGTCTGGTTTACTTTTACCGAAGAGTGCGTTTTCTTCATTTCGCAATAACAAAAATTGCTGCATTTTTCTTTCATGGAATATTTTAGAAGCAGTAAACGTTTTTGTATAAAATAAAAGACAACTTGATGACGATTGTTTAAGTATTTTCTGTTTTTATTGCATTTTTCAGTTTACTTGATGTTTTTTTTTGTTTTTTGTTTCTTTTGTTCTTTTGTAAGCTTTAAACTCTGCGATCAAAAGTTGAAAGAAAGTAAAATAGAAGAGGAAATCAAACTTCTTACCTTTGTAGAGGATAAAATCAGTCGCGGCTTAAAACCCAAATTATGTGATAAATATTAAGATATAGAACCTAACTAGGGCTATAGGGGATCTGATATGCCTATTTCCAAACGACACCAACGAAAGCCCAGAGAAAATGATCACATTTCAAAATATACAAAAGGAGGCTGCTGTCCTTCGTTGGATCCCTTTGGAAAAAGACAAACAGATCAAGAGGGTTTATAGAGAGAGAGAGAGAAAGAGTAACCAAAGTTCCTATCACATATCGAAATGGAGATTCACTGTTCTCGTCACAGCCAGCTGCCGAGTACGACGACGGGGGCTTACTAGTCACTGTTTGGTGTGATTTGGTTGGGTGTCTTGGTTGAAATAAATATGCGTGTTATGTTAACCTGGCTGATGTAGTACTCCACCACGCGGACTATGACGTGGGCATAGTTAATGTTCTCCTCCGCCAGCATTGTGAGCATGTTGATGAGCGGTTTGCTATTGCAGTTCAAGTCCTGTAGACTCGACAGATACTCCTCACCAATACGTCGCTCATCATCGCGGTATGACTGAAATAATTGCTCCATCTTTGCCCTTCCTTCCTAGGTGGCAATCCTCTACTAGGTTATTGATCAAATTTATGTTTAGAAGAAACACGCAGTTGTTAGGGAGAACGCTAAAGGGAGAAAGAAAAAGGTTGGTTAGTACCAGCCAGGCAACAGTATTCAATTTGCTAGGCAACAGCATTTAATTTATATCAAAACGATAAGGGATGGGGAGAGAGGTTCATGGTGCAGCGGCAAGGTAAACAATCACGCGCGTCTGAAAACAAACCACAAATACACCCACATACATGCCAACAAAATTCAATATGGCGTCCATCAGACACATTGCCTCGAAGGCTGCAATTTGCAAATTGCATCCTGCCAACGTTTGAGGAATATTTTATCACCCAAACTTCTTTTCACTTTATTGTCTTGACGTTCAGCACAGCAGTTTTCAATAGTTTTGCACACAGCGTTTATGTTTGTGTCTTTTCGAAAAATTTTCGCAGACAAAGCCACGTTTATATTACCAACACATGCACACGCGTTTTTCACAGTTTTCAAACCATGTTTTAATGCTTATAGCGTTCACATAGACATACCTTTTGTTATTAATACATTTGTACAATCAGTTAAAGACACTTTCGTGAATTGAAAATTAAATTAAATCACTTCAAAATAACAAAATTAATCGTTGAAAACTCTCACGTAACAAACTGCGATGTATTTTTTTTACGAGTGTGTGTCATACAGTGTGACCGCCGATTTATCGATAAAATATACCGTCCGACCCTCAGAAATATACCGAAACAGACCGCCTCATTTTCAAAATATACCGTAAATATACTGACGAAGTCAAGTTCTATTTTACATATTCCTCGTGTTTGATATTCCGTCGAATATTACTAGCTATATAGAACATTTAGCCATGCCCATATAATTTTATACGATTGATAAATCAATTTTCTACTTGACTGGCCTATTCTAAATACATGCTTTTATTCGATTTCTATATACCGTTGAAAATTAAATTTAATATTGATATACCGAACATATACCACCGGTTTAATTTTGACCTCAAAAATACCGACAAGTAAAAATACCGTATCTAAGCTGCAGTGTGACCGCGGTTAAAGTTTGACCCTCAGAAATATACCAAAATATACCGTCTCATTTCTCTGCTACTGTTCTGTTTATTTATACTCTTATTTCGTAATTAAATGCCATATATCATCAATGATCTAAGATAAGATCTTGAGCTCACCCAACTCAAATGACTTCGCAAATCTACAGCCAGAAGAAGTTCATACCGACGCCGCCGGAGAAGGGCTCATTTCCACTGGATCACGAGGGCCTCTGCAAGAAGCAATTTCTTCTATACGCCAGCTGCCTGCGGCGTAACGCCCAGGACACGAGTCAGTGCCGCGAGGACGCCCAAAACTATCTTGCTTGTCGCATGGACAACAATCTTATGGAAAAAACCGAATGGTCAAAGTTGGGCTTTCACGATAAGAAACCGGCGCCAGAGGAAGACAAGCAATAGTAGTCCACAATGAAACCAGAACGTAATGTGATTATAGCAGCCACAGGTAGCGTGGCAACCATTAAGTTAACGCAAATGATAGCAGAACTCTCCGATGAACGGCTGCCGTACAAATTTCACCTTCAAATCCTTATTACCGAGGCAGCCAAACACTTCTTTGAGCTGGAGCAAATACCCGAGAACGGTGGGTGGTTTGTAAGATAAGTGGTCCGGCTTATGCCTTGAGTAACCTTCCTTTTCAGTGCCCATTCTTCATAATCGCGATGAGTGGTTGGGTTGGAACCACCGCGGCGATCCCGTGCTGCACATTGAACTGGGAAAGTGGGCCGATCTGATGGTGATTGCTCCACTTAGCGCTAATTCTCTCTCCAAAATGGCCACTGTAAGATGAACTAAACCAGATTCCCCAGTAATCTTCTGTAAACATGCCTATCTGCGTTTCTATTGCAGGGGATTTGCGACAACCTTGTGATGTGCGTCGTGCGTGCTTGGGACCTGGAGAAGCCCCTACTCTTTGCGCCAGCCATGAATACGCGCATGTATGATCATCCCATCACAAAGGAGCAGATCGAAAAGCTGGTGAGCTGGGGCTATAAGGAGATTCCCTGCATTTCAAAAAAACTAATGTGCGGCGACACGGGCAATGGGGCTATGGCAGAAGTGCCCACAATTGTTGAAGCGGTGGTGGCTGCCTTTCGGTTGGATAACTAATTGTTAAATATTTATAATTAAGGTCGGGCGACAGGAGAAAGTAAACGCCCAAATTGTTATACACACATTGTTTATATATCGCAGAATATTTTGTTACAACAATTAGACATTTATAATTGGCCACGCCTTACAGATCCACCACCTTCATGTTCTCCATGGAGTTGTTGGCCGAGTGGTTGATCAGAGCCTTCTCCGAGTCGGTGAGATTGATGAACTTGTGCTTGGACTTCAGTTCCTGCTGTATGGAGGAAAGCAAATCTGGTGAACAGCGCCCTGTCCTTGTGCTCCTATTCTCTCCGTTCCCGCTCTTCTGTCCTGGCAATTCAGGATCGCCTGTTACCTCAAGCTTCGGCTCCATTATGGTCTCCATTTGAAGGGACTGACCCTTACGACGCATTCGCTTCGAGCCCCGTGTGATGAGCACCACGGCAGGCGATTCAAACGGCAAAGCCTGTATGACAGTCTGGAGAAGTTTTGGTGGTGTCTCTGGAGTCTTGGGATTGCCAATGACCACATCCGCTTGCAGGGCACTCTGGGCACGCTCTCGCTCCTCCTCGCGTTCCCGGGCTGCATTCTTTCGCATCAGCTGACGGGCTCGCTTCTTCAGGATGGCCTGCGCGTTGGGATAGTATGCAATTACCTCGTTCAAGTCCGACTTGGACAGCACAAACAAATTAGAGTAGCCCTTGGATCGCACATCGGCCGTGCGACGATCGGCTCCGTTGATGCCCAGCAAGCTGATCTCTCCAAACACTGAACCTTCGGTGAGGGTGGCCAGAACCACGTCGCTGTTGGGACCGCCCATTACCTGGACTTGGCCCAGCTTTACAATGTACATCTCGCGGCCGACCTCCCCTTTGCGGCAGACAAAGTCTTTGGGCAGAAAGGTGACCGCCCGCAGCTTCAACACCAGATCCCTCAGCAACGCCTCCTCGCAATCGGCAAAAAGCTGAACCTTGGACAGGGTCTGAATGTGTACGGAGATGGCGATGTCTGTTTTGAGATTAATGGGCAGCGCATCAAGTATATTGGATTCATCTGAGAGGAAAGAAGAGAATCAGAAAAGTGGATTACTTTGGAGAAGCATGTACCTACCCAAAGTACGCTGCTGCTCCCAGGTGAACTGGAACCACATCTTGACCCTTGACTGCACCTCTTGGGATAGATTCAAACGTCGCATGTACTCCAGCGTCTCGTCCTCCAGCTGACGGTACTCGTGCTTGTTCCTGGTGGCCGTGGATATGATGTCCCGTATCTGTCCGATCAGCAGGGCGAACACAAAGACGCCCATCAGCCAGGCTACCGTCATGAAGACGTACTCCCCCTGGCGTTCCGGCTTCGGATTTTTTCCTATCGATGTGGCCGTCTTGGTGGCAAAGGCAAAGCACCGCACATAAGGGTGTCCCTTGCCACTGAAGACCCAGCGGTTCTTGCCCAAGCCCTGATAGTCACTGTAGGCGTAGTACAGGGCAGCTGTGATGTGGATCATATAGAGCATATAGGTGAGGGTTTTGGCCACGCGAACCTATTTGGATAAAAGCAATCCAAAGATAAGTGAATAAAAAAAGGATTCAAATGGAAACTTACAAAATGCGGCGATGATATCACCCGATCCAGCAGACGGAACACTTCCCAGAAGCTTTGTATCTTAAAGAAGCGAGGGAAGCGCAACCAGACTGCGCCCGTTCCTAGCTTCAGGTAGAACAGCTCCAAGGGCAGCAAAGCCAGAAGATCCAACTGTTTAAGAGTTCTATGAGGCTGGGTTTGGCATGAGTGGAGGGACTAAAACGCACCTTAAACTGTAGCTTCCGCATGTAGTTTTTCCTCGTGAGGTTCTTGTTCTTCACCCAAAAGCCCTCGAAGAGGTACATAACTCGGTGCTTAAAGAAGACCACATCCAGCAGATAGACGATGTCCGCACAGAAGTCGCAGGCCAGCCAGATGTTGGTGTTCTCCTTCGTCTGAAAGGGAAATGAGGCGCGCAACGGTATGACCCAGGCGTTGTAGAGGAAGGATAGCGACACCACACACAGCCAGGAGATGTAGATCTTCCCCTGTGGATCCAGCGTCCTTTCGTCGTTGTTGGCGCCGCACAGGCTGGAGCAGAGCCAGACATTGGAGCGAGGAGTGTCCGCCTCAAAGAGGCGTCCGCGATGAGGCGAAGAACCAGCCGGCACCAGACGCACCTTGTGCTCCGGCGAGGGATGCAGGCTCTTGGTGCTCGCATGCAGGGCCGTCGGCGGAGGCGAGGGCGAGCTGGCGTTGCTGGACGAGGGCGTGGGCGGCAGCTCGATCCGGGACTTGACCTTGTTGGCGCGGGCCGTAAAGCGTCGCACCAGGTGGCGGACCTGGTCGCGTAGGAACTGCTGGCCCTGCGAATCCAGGCTGCCGGCGCTGCTCGGCTTGCGATGATGCTCCTGCTCCCGATCCTTTTCAGGTTCCAACACGGCTACGATCTCGCTCTCGTTGATGGAGGGCGAACGCAGGCGACTCACATTGTGATCCTCATTCTGCAGCTCCGGCGACTCGTTGTAGCAGATCTGCACGTCCTGTTCGTCTTCGTCCTCTTCCTGGATGTCTTGGGACTCGTCTGCTGGCTGGTCACACGACTCCAGTGGAAATACCACCTGTCCCGTGGCCGCCGCCAGCTCTTCGGCTCGCTGTACTGCCACCAGATCGGATACTGGCATGGGAACCATCCCCGGAAGGGGCGTCATCTCCAAGTTGTCCGGCTGCAGGATGCGTCTCACACTGTCCGGACTTACCAGCGGCTTCTCGTGCTTCAGTATGTGCTTGACCAGGGCATGGGTTGCTCCGATATTGCTCTGCTGTTCGGCGGCGTCCACACAGCCAATTCTACCGTTACGGAAGTACAGCCGGGAGTGATAGAACCGGGGACTGTTTGGACGCTGGCGACGCTGCGGGGCCTTGTAGGCATTGATCTTGTAGGTGATCCGCTTGACGGGACTCGGGGTCTTGTTCTCCTTGTCGCTTCGCCGGATCTGCGCTTGGATCTGCACCTGAACCTGCTCCTTCTCCAACTCGTTCTCGCGCTGCATCATTTGCTCTGTGGCCGTAACAAACTGTTCGATCTCCTTGATGTCCTTGGAGATCTCCTCCAGGCTGCGCCGCACCTGAGCCTCCTTCTCCCCCGGACTCGAGTAGCGGCGCACGCTCTCCGGCTGCCGGTTGATCACATTCCGCATAAAGGCGTGCCGCTCCAGAGTGTCGCAGAACTTGGGCTCTGCCACCTCCTTGGACCTGCCCGATTCGTAGCCGGAGCTGGTGGTAGGCGTGGACATTGGAGAGGTCGCCATCCGCTTGAGGTGCTTGTGTGCCTTCGGTAGTTGGAAATCGTCGTACGAAAAGTTCTCCAAAATGTTGGGCGATGACTTCAGTAGCGATGCATTCGCCTCCAGTTCGAGCTCCTCGCTGCGCTGGTTCAGCTGTGAATGAAGCGAGCACTCGGTCGATTCGATGGCCAACAGCTCGTCTCGAGGCGAACCAGCACGCACATCCAATAAAAACAACTCCCGGTGCTGCGGCTGAATGTGCCTTGCATGGTAATTGCCCCGAGACGCCCGCACTTTTAATGTTTCCAGTATCAATACCTCATCTATCTAGTATATCTATAGCTCTATCTATGAGTTGTCGGTTATTGGTTTAAGCGCGTGCCATAAGCGAAGGACGCGGGTTCACAATATCTTTGGGGTCAAAGTTTATAGGCCCCTTACTGAACAAATTCTCAAATTAAAGCTTATTTCGTTAACCCAATAATGGTAACTAACAGATACAAATATTTTCCACGGATAAAGAAACGTTCCAAAGAAACAAATGTCTATTGCGGATACAAAAGTAAAGCTAATAATCCAAGTTACCTGAACGATTCGAAAGCATCTTATAGATACATATGTATCTCAAGGGTTATTCCTGCTATTTTCAAAAGAGAACCCTAACAAATGACATGTGCTACCAATAACTGATGAAGCTTCTGTATCTCTGAGGCTCGGAAGGGAAAACCCTTCCCCAATAGTGTATAAAAAACCTCCTCGAACTTCCAAGATTCCTCAGAGTATCTCAAGTTGACCTCTTCGCGCGTGCACGAAAATATCCACGACATTTAGCTTACCATGCGAAAGCGTCCCATGCTGGTCATTATGGTGGATTGTTTTTGGCTCCGAGCAAGTTCAGTGTCAACGCAGGGAGGGGAGGGTTCAGGGTCAGTTGCCTTAGTTCTGAAAGGAGAGAGAAATACATGCTAAACTGCGTGTTGCACACGGCGTATGACTTATTTGCTGAATAGAGTAGACATGACACGCAAACGAAGTGCAGCAGTCCCCATCGACTGCTATCTACAGCCCCCACTATCCATATGCCACGCAGTATTGATTTTTCCAGCTGTTGCAACTTTTGGTTTTCTTTGCCGATTTGCTTATTCCATTCGTTTGCTGCCCGGAACCCATTCCGGGTCCCAGTCCCAACTCAAACCCACTTCAACAGGTGGTTTAAATTTATTTGGAAATTGTAGAGTCACACTATTTTCAGGGATTGCGATATTCTGCACGGATTATTCTTGAAGTTCTTACTTCCCTGATTGCACTCAGAACAGATGTTTGCTTGGAAACTCACTTGTCCAAAGGCCCACAGGATAAGGATTGGCTACTGTGGATGCTTCTCGACCCCAAACAAAGAGTCGCCTGCCGCCGCTGAAGGAAAAGATGAACTGGACAACGGAAATGCCCTGCACTTGGCAAAACAAAATCAACGCAGGCGCTCTGTACTTCTACGTGAAGTACAGTGGAACTAAGCTCACTTATAAATGAAGCCTATATGTATATAAAATATCATAATGTGCGGGAATCTTGTAATCTATATCTCGCAATTATCAAACAAATATTACTTAGAATTTCCTTTATTTTTATTATTGGCTTACCTTTCGTAATGTTTTTCTTCGTGTTATGTGGAGTTGCCAAAAAGCTCTTAAGCTTAAATAAAACTTTTCGTGGTTAAAGCTATCCCCTCTAATAAACCACCGATTCAGGAAATCAAAAAATAGAAACACATATGTACTGATTATTTTTTTTTACAATTTCTTTATATATATTTTTTTTGTTGAAATAATATTCCATTCAGCTCTACATTTACAATTACATAATTGTAATATTTTTGTTGTTTTTGTTTTGTTTGTTTTCTCTTTTAAATTACACAATACATACATATATAGGCATATATTTAAATATATACTCATGTAGGCATTTTAAAACGTATACATATATATATGTATATATAACTTTTTTGCCTTCGAATCTATGGATTCGAAATTCAAATAACTTTGATGCAATCGAAAGTGGCCAAATGGTAGGGGGGTACGGGGTATCCCCCAAAGATCCTCTGGCGTGGGAGACTGTGGCTGTGTGGTTGTGTGGATGTGGGGTTCTTGATGAAGAATTACATACATATAGGTACATACATCGATACGTACAAACCTAGAATATATAAAACATTTGCTAGTTCTCCGAGTGGAAATTGTGTTTTATCATCGTTTCTTCACTTTAACTTATTTTTTATGGTTTATGCTGTGTTTCTGTGTGTGTGGATGTGGGTGTTTTGTATGGTTTCTAGTGCATATTTAAAGATGTAAGGACTTAATTTTTTTTGTGGTTTTTTCATATTTTTAGAGTTTTTTTTTACTTGGTTTCTTTTTTTATGTTTTGTTTTTTTATGTCACTTAAAAAATTACATTAATAAAATGTATTTTAAAACTTATGCAAAAAGCTGCCGTTTCGCATCCCTCCTACTCGCTCTCGTCCTCCTCATCCTCCTCGGAGGACTCCTTCTTCTTGATCTTCTTGACGGGCTTGACGGGCATCTTCTTTCGCTTCTTGGGCGCACCGGAATCAGTGCCGCCATTGGCCTCGTACTCCTTCACCGCCCGATTGTACTCCTCCTTCATTTTGATGGCCTTCTGCTCCCATTCCTAGTTTGTGAGACATTCGAAATGATATTATAGCTGGGGATTCTTCAAATAGAACTCTGATTTCCTTACCGTCTTGTCCTTCAGTCCGCGCCAGAGCTCACCACCGCGCTTGGCGATGTCTGTAACCTTGCTGCCGGGATTCTCCTTCTTGATGGATTCACGCGTCTCGTTCAGCCATAGCATGTAGGCGGACAGGGGACGCTTCGGGCGATCTCCTGCTGCACTCATATTTGTATTTGGTTTTTGATGGGTTTTGCTCGGGGGACAACTTTTAAGCTCTCAATGAGTAATGTCAATTATTGCTGCAATTGATGAAAGAAACAAGTTAATTATCTACTTCCTTATACCATAGTAATACGTGAGGAAATGTTAAGAGAACAGAGAGAATATGGAATGGTTTTACTTAAAAATATTATTCCTAGCTCCGTTCAAAATATAGTTCATAATTCTCCTTGAACATACTGTAAATACTTTCAGCTTATTCATCCTGCTTTCCTCAGCCCATTAAATATTAAACGATTGCATTTTGACCTGTACAGTGTACACACAAACGGGCTCCAATTAAATATTCCTATTGGATTACTCCCCCAGCTGCGCACCCAACCATACTTTACACATTCCTTGCTCTGAAGCTCACACACAGAGAACCTATCACAATGGAATACTTTACTTTTGATACATTATATCCCTGCACATAATCACTATTTATAACTGGAATATTTCGGGTTAATTGTGGGGGCTGATTGATGTATCTGTATACTTTATATACACCATATACATACACACATACTTTCCTGTACATAACACAGAGTGCATTGCACTTTTGGGGCTATTGTGTACACAGGTTTTGTTTGTATCCCTGCAGGAAATCAACCCCTCAACTCTTTCCCTTTTTTTCGTTAGTATTTTGAATCCAAGCCCAATCCACAGATCAGCTGTTTTGGGGTTGGATGACAATGGTCTAACGTCGGAATAGGGTACGCGCCATGCAAATGAAGCGGCGACAACAGGCCCCCCAATGGCCATAAGACATGCACTTGACCCAAATCCCAAATGTTCAACGAGAGGGAGAAGCAGAAAGCAACGTGAATTGGGTTAACAAACGACTCGAAAGCGCACTGAAGGAAGCTGTCTGTAGAACCGTGGACCACCAGGAGCCCCCAGGAACCCACTGGGGAGTCGTGTGGGTGGAGGAGGGTAGTGAAGTGTGGCGCATCAATCAGGATGCCGACGCCTCCACACATTGCACAACATTCTCCATTGGCCAGAACCCCACGGCTCTGTGTGTGAGTGTGTGTGTGTATATGTATTCTGTGACATCGTTGTCCAGGAGCAACAGGAAAACAGCGGCAAATTCTTGCTAGTTAAACGCGACCACGCACAGATACACACCCACACACTGACAAACACGACGACGGAGGAAACTGGAACTCGTAGATGGATGGCGAGGAGGCTTCGCACATTGCCGCAACACGTGATGCAGCCAGGATTTTGCCTGCAGAGCACGGCCGGAAGAGTGAAAGAGAGAGAGAGAGAGAGTGAACGATATAGAAAATCGAAAGCGAAAACTGTTCCCCGTCTGACTCTCCACGTCTGTGTGTGTGTGGGTTGTGGCATAGAGGAGCCGTGTATGTTTCTGCATCTGTCGTTACTGGTTGCAAATTTCATTTTGCTGCCTGCATCACGAGGATTACAAGGAAAACGCTTGGTACCTGGAACATAAGGAATTTCCGCACCGAATGATGCCTAATTCGATGAACTAATAACTCAATCATGGAGTAAAGGTGCAATCGGGTGCAATGGTATTCCGAACGATAGCAAAAAGTAAGCGGACTCCCAGAAATAGTAACAAGTTCTTTTACTATAATTTTAGTATAAATTCAGCTATCAGATCATTGCAATCCTTAAGTTTTTAGACTCGTGGCGGATTCATTTCATGTCAGCAATGAACATTGAACTCAAATTGAACAAAAATCTGTAAAGTTACGGCTATAACGGGGACAATTATACAGGTAACAGCCTTTACAGCATATCCTTCGAAATCCCTGGCAAATCGCCCCACATGAAGCTTTCTTAATGCTTTTCCACTGCATTACGCATACGCGGCGTGAACAGGGCTGGCAACATTACGCATACGCAACTTGTGCGGCAGGAACCCCTGCATAATGAATGCCAGACTGTGGACAAACACAGGGCACACACAAAAGGCACACATAGGACATTAAATGGAATACTAAATAAGGCAACAGAAACCCTGGCCCCAAGCCTCCACAGAAATGGCCATGTCGATCTAAAATGGAAAAGCAGACGTCGCTGTCGCTGTTCCGTCGCCGTCGCTGCTTTTGCTGCTGCCTCTGACGCAGTCAGCGTCAACGTCAGCTTCGGAAAAGTCTCTCGGCCTGGCCAAAAGGCATAAAACTGACAACGCTGCCGCTTATCTATCCGAACGGGTGTTTGTGTGTGTTTATGGTGTTTTTGCCCAGCACCACCCAAAAGCAACCACCTCGAACCAACCAGAACCACCCGGCACCACCTAACCACCGACTGCGAGGCTTGTGCGCAGTAACAGCATTTTAGGGTAGATATTTTTACAGGGATTTGCGCACTGGAAGCCCAGCTGCAACAACCACAGCCATAACAAAAACGAGTACGAGTGCGAGTACTTTATATGCCAGAGAGCGAACGCACAGTGGTGACTTTTAATGGGGGGAATGAATGCTCGTACATAATGCTGATAATGCCCACGCTTGAGGGTCGTTTTTCCCTACCCGTTGTTTCTCCCAGTGTATGGTACAGTCAGGTCACAAAATCAAAGGGAAGGCGGTCGAAATGTGATTGAAAAACTATAGATGGCGCATTGGTGGTGCTCTGTTTTACAGTTGAAACGTTTTTTATAGCTGCTCAAAGGGATTTTGTTTATGAAAATCGTTTAATTAATTATTAGAGCAAACAATAAAGTAGAGGGTTGTACAACTGTAGCAACAATAAGCATATCGTAAAAGGAAGAGAAAAGATAATCTTTTGAAAAATCGCTAAAAAATACATTGTCATCCTAAAAGCACTCACTGATGTAATATCGCGAAAGCTGTTAACAGCTTGGGCTCCCAAAACAATACAGGACTGATCGAAAATACAGCAAAATTCACCCCTTGGGTCTTCTTTGGTATATCTTCCCACACAAAAAACCAATATAAGATTAGGAACCAGCACAAAAGTGGCGCGAAAAGAACTTTATATGTAGCTGTAAATCAAGCAAGCTCTCTCAGTACACACCTCTCTTCTTTATTCTTTTGTTTGTGTTTGTGTTTGTGTGTGTATGTGTGTTTGGGGTCCCGCTATATGACACAACTTTTGGCGCCATTTTTAGTTAGCACTCGAGAGTGCAGCACGGGTAAGCGCAAAAAACAAATGGCACGCGCTCGGAAAAAAACGGAAATGAACGAACAAACCAAAAGATTGCACCCAGAGGGTGGATGGAAGATTGAGTCTGTGCGAAGATCCACAAGGATCCAACATGGTTGCCAACCCCAGGACTCTTTTCGAAAAAGCACTGCAAATAACGGGAACGTGACCAACGACGGGTATTGCGAATAACGGATAGAGTCAACCGTTTGAGGCATGTGCACATGCGGAAGGTCATCAAGGGAGGTGCCGACTGGTCTGTCGGGAGGCGAAACTGAATGCCACTTGGCGGCAGGATTATGCCCGTAAAGCCTGGAAATGTTCCTAAACACCAGAGGAAGGCCAAAGGAGAAGCCCGCAGCAGATGTCGACAGGTGGGTGGACAGCGGGCGTGTCGTCTGGGGTCTGTCTGGGGTGTGGGGCGACAGCCGATCAGAAATCGAAGAGCCCAGCTGCAGCAGATGCAGAATATACAGCGGGGAATGTACACTGGAGGGAGGCAATATTGCGGATAGCCCGAGGAGCACATATGCAATAACAGAAGGTTAAAGCCAATATCCATTTATCATGGGAAATAAAATCTTACAAAATACTCTTTTTATATATTACTTAAAAGAAATCACTTCTTAGAATCAAATTCGGAAAATTTGTTTTCCAGTTAAAGTTACTCTAATTAGTACTATAATAAATTTAAATTTCCCAACGTTTCACACGTTTCATGCTTTAAAAATACAATCATTTCGAGGAAAATGAATCAATTTTCCATTTGCTAATTTTGCTCTATCCCACTCAAAACAAAAATCAATTGAGTTAATCGCGAGCACAATTAATATTTCCATGCACTGTCGAGCATTTCGTTTCAATTAAATGCTGATAATACCAAAAATTATCGCGAAAGCGGGGCGAAACAACTAATTTGACGGCGACTGTGACAGCGCTGGTTAGCACTTGGAGCAGGCCAGTGTAAGAGTTGAAGCCCCTACCCTACTAATGAAAAATACTCGTATTCTCATATCTCTACGTACGTTTTGCTGTGCTGCTGTCGCCTGCCTGTGCTGTACACTTCACTCTTGGCCCGGCCTGTTTCTGCTGAATGACTGGCTGGGGAGAGAGACCGAACAACGAAAAACGTACTGCGAACACTGAACTGAACTGAACTGAAAATCAACTGAAGCAGCTGTACCAGGGCCCAGGCAGGCCGCCAGCAAGCGAAACGCAGGCAAAGCAAACGCAGAGGCAGAAGCAGAAGCAAAGGCAAAGCAGAGGCAAACGACGAACGAACGAAACGAGCGCCGTACCCAGCGAGACCATCAAACAGCACGGCACGGCACAGGCAGAGGCAGCAAAAGTATCTGTATATGAGTATCAGAGAGTAGAGTCGAACGAACCAGGCAGCCAACCAACACACAGAGTCGTTGGAGAGCTGTGTATGTACACAGTGGTGGCAAAACGAGAGTGTACAGCACCGCCTGCTGCTGCGTGCGTGCGAAGAGGGAAATAATTTGCGTTTTTGTGGTGGCCGCACAGAGGCGTCCCGCAAAATCGTGCAGGCTGGCCCTCAAGAGTTCTTACAGCGCATGCACAGTGCAGGCGCTGCACATTGGCAGGGCTGATTTGGTTCATAAAATTATTATTAATTATTTATGGTGAAATTAATTGGGGAAAAAGATAATACGACTGAAGAATGAAAATAATTTTAAAGTTTTGTTGTACACTTCCTGTTTATGCTCTTGACTAATCATGCCTTGAGTGAGTGCATTTCCCCTACCTCCCATACAATTTGACAAGACGCGCATGTTCCGACTATTTTTGCCGCGACTGTACACGCTTAACCATATAGAAGCATGGAGCGGAGCCGTAAGCTCTGTGTGGAACGAAATGCTAGTAGTATTTGGCGGCGCCGCCGTCAACGCTTACCCCTCTGGCACACACATACCCCTCTGCTGCGAAAACCCCTCTACATGTTAAATCGAAACGCTGCCCAATGCCGCCCACCTGCCTCCCCCTCACCTTCCCGCTAAAAAACCCCTCTTCCACAAGCTCTCCCCCTTAATACTTCCCCTACATCACCATCACCTCTCCCAGCATTTCGCTCTCATAGAAATTTTTTACAACTTTACAAAAAATCAAAAGATGAAAAAAAAAATGTTTTTCGCTTTTTTCCAAGAAATGAATGCATAAATATTTAACCTACAATATTGATTTGACATTTACAAGCGTAATCGATTGGGTAATCACCGAATGGGGCATAGATTCTTCATAGCGCACTTGTGGTTCGATATAAATTTTCAAAAAATAACCGTCAATATTTCGCGCGCGCCCTCCATTCAAAATTTCAATCCCATGCAAGCAACAACGATGTCTAGATGACGACGACTACAACGCGGCCCGACCAAGAGCCACCTAACCAAAGGCCCAAGCAAAACCCCAGTGTAGAGAATGCCCACGCCAGAAATTGGGTCGTTTATTTTATTTAGCAAATTTTATATAATAAATGGCCACGATGGCTGCGCATTTTGGCCAGACCACACAGATGGAATAGTTAGAAATCAATCGTAGTGGAACACTTAGCACTCACCCGTACGAAAATGTCGCGTAATTTGCCTTTTAATTGCACCTCCACCGAATCTTCTGTATCTTGCACCAACGTTCAGTACTGGCCTGCTGTTTGTTCACTTTATAAATTTTCTTCTACTAAAAACTCAAGTCTGTTCGGTTTGGTTCGGTACGTAGTACAGCCTTGCCTTTGGAATATCAAATACACTGAGTGAATGCCAGCCAACGAGCCACAGCCACAGAGCCAGAGCCAGAGCCATGAGAGGCCACAGGCAGAGCAGAGCAAAGCAAAGCAGCAGTACGAAGCACGGGTACGACGCAAACTCAGGCACTACCGAGTGTATCTGTATCTGTGTCTGCAGTATCCGTGCACACCGTTTGCTGTATCTGTGTGTGTGCGGTGCTCAGAGCAGTTTTCGTCGCTCTATGTGCGAGGCAATCGACAAACACACACAGATACGGCACTACAGCGTACGTGTGTATCTGGCCTGGCTGGTCGACTACCGTTGTATGGGTGGGTGTATGTCTGTAGTAGAGCTGAAATTCGTTCGTTATATGAACAGGCGGCAGATGGACGGAAGCCGGGTGCCCGGGACAGAGGCAGAGGCATCAGCAGCAGCAGCACCAGCAGCACCAGCACCACCAACAGAGCCACAGAGCGCAGAGTCAGAGCATTGAATATGGCCGCCTGCTTTTGCTTTGCCTTTGCCTTGCTTTCGTATCGTTTTGTATGGTATGTACGGTATGGCATGGTCTGCTTTGTACTACAATATTGGATAGTTTAAGCCCTGGCATAAGGTGTACCAAGTATGTGAATATGTTGGTTAATGGATAATCTATCAGACCTCATTTCAAATTGGGGTACATTTTGATGGATTTTAATGAAATTTTAGTGAAACAGATGGGATATCCCTAACTATCACAATTATAACCATTTATATATCAAATGATATCTGCAAATATTAAGAAATACATGTTATGGGGTGGTATGCCAATTAACTTCATCCCGAGCTAAATCAAAAAGATTCAAAAATGTTTGCCAAAAACATTTCCATATTTTAAATTGTACCAAAACTTCCAATCTAGACATTCAATCTTCTAATGCTAAAACCACAATTCGTAGATAAAAATACGACATTTGATTGGGCATCATTCAATCTGTACCTAATCAAACAAAATCCCAAGATATCTGAAAGATTCGTTTCAACCAAAGAATAGCGCACTTCCAGGTGCGACCAGAATCGCATGTTTTTCGTATCCGTATGGACTCTATCTCGCTGTATAGAGGCCCGCAGTACAGCTACAGTCAGAGCCCAGTAGCAGAGGCCGCAGCGAAAATACGAACCGAGAAAAGCACCGAACGAACGAGAGTGTGTGGAGTGGATGTGGATTGGGGGGTAGCGGGGCCGAGAGGCAAACAGACGGCGGCGACGGGCGGCCGTTGTACGTGTCGACACTGCTGTCGTACTATGTACGGGACTGAGTGTATGCATGTATCATTGTGTGTGCGACTGTATCTGTATCCACGCGAACAGACAGCCACAGAGCGCACAGAGCATGAAATCAACGTTCCCCACTCGTTCGCCTGTAGGGTATGCAAGGCAATGGGATATTGTGGACCTGAATGCGACAGACCAGACCCGGTCTGTCTCATGTTGCCTGCCGGTTGGTGGTGCATTTTTTTTGGATAAGTGCCGGGCTGAACTGCTCATCGGATTAACCAGATTCCTTGTGCAACTTTAAATGACAAAACCGATCTTTAGCTAAGCATAATGTTGCAATTCGAACTCTACGGATTTGTATCATCTCGTATAGAATAGAAAACACATTGAATCTGTCATAAAATTATCAAGATCTTCAATATATTACCGTTCTCTTATCAAGGTACATATGCTATTATATCTTTAATCTTTTACCATGGAAAAATTGTACTCATATTAAATGTTGTATCAACAATCAAATAAATCAAGTCTAATATGAATAGGTGAATGATCTACACTTAGAAACATGGTAATATCTTCAACCTCCAGTAGTAAACAGGAGAATCTTTTCTGAAATTTTAATCTTAAAGATTAATTTTATTGATCTGCTACAATAAATGCGATAAAAGCCCCCATTTTGAAGATCATTGACCTCTGCAAAAACAACCATTGAGGGGTTGCTTTTGTTTAGAAAACACCTTTGAAATCCCTGCCAATGTTTCAGGATCCATTTAGCATAGCATTGCTAATCTGTTGCTTTTGCGTTGCTTGGACATCTATTTTTTTCACGATATAACTTTTTGCATGGGGCTTTGGCCCACAGTGCCAGTGGGTCGGTCGATTATTATGGTTGTTTGTCGTCTCATTTCAGTCTTGTCTGTGTAGCAGCACACAGAGAGCCTTCCACTGCCGTAAAGCTAACGATGATATCGTGGTATGGTGGGGATGGTGGTATGGCATGGGAGATGCATGGGTTGCCTTTGGTGTTGGGTTCTACTGGGTTCGGGCTGACTGTGCGACTCTGTCTCTGGCTTTAGCTCTGCCTCTGGTCCTGTGAGGAGGTGAGGGATACGGATGGGCTGCAGTCAGCAGTCGGGTCGACTGCCGACGCTGCTACTGGCAGCGGCTTTCGGTGGTGGCAATTGTCGGGCATAGACGAAACGGAGCGGATGATGACGACGATGATGTTGATGGCAGCAGCGAAGGGGTGTTCTCCGAGGGGTGGCATGAGGTCCCATACGCCTGGAGAGGAGTATGCAAAAACGAACAACCTAACGAGACCGAGCCATCCAGCCGGAGAGCAGGCGAACGCTTCATCGAAATGGGGACGCATGAGGCGTACTTTTCACAGGATGTGGATATAACGAGCCTGCATACGTTCGTATGTACTGCATGGAGTGTGTGCGTCAGCGACAGAGAGTATAGAAACAAAGTACAACAGTGTAATGGGGCAACAATCAGATCGAGACATAAATGCTCTATTGGGAACTAAATTTTGAGCTGAAAAGTTATGTATAGAGTATACGGCCGGAAATATCCTGCAGATGATAATGGCTCACTAGGCATCCCTAAAACATATCCTTTAAACATATTGCCAGTATATATTAAATCTTTCAGTCAACTAACTTAGATTATATACATTATATCTCCCATTCATTCAGTGGAAACTCATAAGACATTCCATTCTGCCCGCCCCCCACTGGGATGTTCCATAATTTGTATCTCCGTTTGGACTTCAGAGTATAGACAAGTATAGACGGTCTAAGCTGTGTTGTGCATTCCTCAAACCATATCCTGTGCCTTTCCCTATCCTTTTTGTCGCATACTCTTGCGTACCCAGCTTAGTTTCTGTTTTTGCCTGGACCTGGACCTGGACATGGTCTGAATCTGGCACTTGGGCTTCATTTTGCCTGCAAATACATGGTTGCGTACGAGTACGAGTACGAGTACGAGTATGTATGTTGATGGGATGGTCGAGTAGTTTGTACCTTTCATGGAACTGGATGGCTTGCCTTGGGTAAGTGAATGCTGCAGCTTACAGGGACACACACAGGCACAGTCGTGAAGTAGTACTCACAGCAGGATGCAGGCACAGGCACAGGCACAGACCGCGGACAGGGGACAGGGGACAGGGGCACTTGTTGTTGTCGGTTCCTTAACGTTGCATCTTTGCCGTCTGCCATTTGCCATTTGCCATTGGCGTCGTCTACTCAAATCAATATGCTTGCCATATGGGATCCAATGTACTTGGTTTTGTGCGTTTACCGTTATGTTTTATTGGGTGTATTCTATAGCGTACATATGTTTATCGTTTTATCGAGTCTCTCTTTTGGATCGTGTCACAGTCCATGTTACAAGGATTCAGCACGGAATCGTTTTTTCTGCGGCTGGAAATGATCTGGTTTTATAAACCTTTTAGAAACCACAAGGAATTTTCATATACCAAAAACAGGTGGGGGTCGTGACCGACCACCTGCAAACCAAAAGTTAAGGCCTGTACTTATCGTTCAATTTCTGTTTATATCTCGTCTTTACCTTCGTCTCTCCATCCTCCTTGTTCGGTTCTCCCGAACAGCTGATGGCGATGGCAACGGTGATGATGTATAGGGAGGTGTGGAAGAGTTGTGTGCTCGCTAAATATTGTTGGATGGACGTGGACGGGTGGTGGGGGGTGAGGGTAGTGTTGCTATAGCTTCGGCGACTGGCCAGCCAGCCCGCAGCAGTCGAGTGTCCCCCCTTTTTGCTCCACGAAAACACCCACAAGCCCTCTCAAAGGCCAAGTTCAGTATCTTAAACACATTTCATGGGACCCATTGTTGTGCAGCCTGTGGAGGCGGGTGCCGATGCGTTGCTGATTCTGGATGCTGACGAGGCGCGATTTGCAACAAGAGCAGCAAAAGCAACCAAAACACCAGGACGGTCTTCTGCTGCCTATGTGACCCAATTTCAAAGGGAGACGCGAAAGTGATGTCCCGCTTTAAAGACGTGTGTGTTTGTGGGGGTGTCCCCATGTGATTGTTACAGATCCCATGGCTTAAAGGATAGGTTAATCGCTGGAAGGATTGATCTAATCTGGTTATTGATAAAGAAACGCACATGCAGGGTATACAACTGGTCGGCTTCACCTTTAGTGAATCCCATTCTCTCTGTTAGGGTATACAAATGTTGCTAAAACCGCAAAAGATGATAAGCATGTGCTGGGCCATAAAATAACAGCAACTACAACAGGAGCAAAAACAACAACAACAGCTATGCGTTTCGCAGTCAGCAGTTCGTTGTCGCCTTGTCGTCCGGTTTCTCTCTTTTTTGAGAATTTAATGAGCATATACAGAACGAACGCACACACTGAAACGCAAGTACTGCATATGTGTGCTTGTTAGTGTAGTTTGTATGTGATTCATGCTTGTTGAAAAATTACAAAAATCTATCATAAACATTGGAAAAACATAAAAACATGGTTTTAGCATGAATTTTGATTTCCATTTCATTCAAATATGTAATTTCTACATGTATTTTACATTCATTTTACATAAAGCACCCACACAAGCACACACACAGAGCGTGGAGCGAGAAGGAAATGGACGACCACCGACTCTCTCTATATTTGCTGGCAGCGACGCCGACAGCGCAGCTGCGCTCTCAGTATTATATGCTTTTGCTTTTGCTGTGCTGCCTCTGCTTTTGCTTTCTCCCACTTGAGTTGTTTTTGCTTTTTCTGATTTTTGCCCCCGCAGCAGTAATCGCTCGTAAATGGGAACCAGTTAGAGCCGAGGGGACTGGAATCCGATTCTTCGGGGCTGCCAAATATGAAAGAATTAACCGCCCTTCCAAGAACTGTTTTTGTTTAGATTTGGATGCGGCTAATGTAAACAGCTGTTGAGAAGAGATTTCAATACGGGAAAAAAGGGGCCGGAACTTTTTATACTCTTTCCATACGATATCGCGAAATATTTCCTTACCGATCGTTTTGTCACAGCAGATGCAAAACTCATTAAATAATGAAGTACACAGAATTTTATTCAATAAACAAGGTGAAAAATCCAAGAGTTCACGGAATTGTATTCAGTGGTAGACGTACATGTATGTAATAGTAAAACCTAAAACGAAATCACAACCTAAGTAGTAAATTATATTTAAAAAGTACCATAGATAACGATCTTATGATCATTAGGATATTTTGAAAAGGTGGTCGCATTAGTTAAAAATATTCATATCGCCCGCATGTCCGTTGATCTTGCGACGTTCCATGGAGAGTATGTACTGGATCTTAGACTGCATGATCATGGAATTGGAGATCGGCATATTACGGAGCTGGGCCGCCACGCTCAAACCAAAGAACGTAAACTCGTCTTCCCCACGGATCTCGCTGCGGGCCGTGTGTGAGGATGGCATTATGCTGACCTCTGGGACCTTCGGAAGAGACGGCGGTGGAGTGGGTGGCTGTTCAATTGGCATGGTCACGGGAAGAACGGTGAACAGCGACGGCGCTGTTGTAATGTCTGGCTCTGTGGTGACGATCTCCTCAGGCTCCAGCTTGACCATTTCCTGCAGCTTAATGGGCTTCAGGCGGTGAAGACGAACGGACAGTCGCTTCAGTTGCGGCACATCCCTAGTATCGTGCTCGCTCTAACGGTAAAAGAAAGAGATTCTGGGTTAGGATACGGCTCTGCGGATCGAGTGATCTGCAGGATGTATAAATGTACCGTGTCTACGAACTCCGCCAGGAACTTGTGCAGTGGGGCGAACCAGGGTATCTTGGGCCGGTAGCGTCTAGGGTTCGATTTGATCTTCTTGAGCTCCTGATGATATCCGGTTCTTAGGTTCTTGATCTTTATTTTAACCCCCTGGATGGAAAGTCCGTTTTCCCCCCGATCGATATTTGCATTGATCCCGGCCATGATCCGCTTGTAGGCTGCGTTCCTCGCCCCTCTCAGGTAGGGCCTCTTGTTCCACAAGCAGGGCTCCCGACCGTAGAGCTCCACAAACTTGATGGTACGCTCATCGGTGAATCGGAACGGAAGTCCGCCCGTCGTCGCCACCGCCTGGCTGGTCATCTCTCTGTGGTCTCACTGTATGCTCTATGCCGCCCCGTCGCCCCAACGAGCGCAAAACCTGATAACCTCTCTGGCGAAGCGCACTCGGCGAACTGTACAGCTTTTGGAATTTTTCTCGCTCTCTTGCGCTCTTGTGAAGTCAAGTTTCATGCTCTGTGCTAGCTTGCTTCTTCGTTTTGCTCTGGGTTCGGAATGCTGCAGTTAAAGCAAAAGCAAATATAATTCCCGTGAGGTTTAAAGTTATATTGCTCACACGTTTAAAACCGCTAAACAAGCACTTTTGTTCGCGAAACTGTATATTTTAAATCTGTCGGACAGCTTTGAAACTTTTTGTTCCCACATTTGATCGTACAAAAAGTTCCTAAAGTTTGTAAATTACTGTAAACAGTAAAAAGGCAAATACAAATTTGGAATTTAAAAATATATAAAACTGATGAGGAAAGCGAAAGTTAACCTTTTGAAAATGTTCCACTCTGATTAACTATTTTACCCTCCTTTGTATCAAAGCATATAAAATAGTTTTTTACAAGCTGTTGAAATTTTTCGACCGCTGTGCTTTTTGCTTTTTGCTGTCGCTGCGAGAGAGAGGCCATGCGCAAGAAGGAAGCTCTCCCAGAAGACGAGTCGTATTTGGCGTCTCTGCTAGTGCATTGCGGTTTCGGGTTCTCCACTACACCACATATGTACATATTTGTATATGTATATGTATCTAGTATATGCAACAATGGACAATTCTCCAAAAATTGTCGGTCCTAATGAACTAGTGAGAACTAATAAAAAATGATGCCTCTCCTACTCTTTAAAGAAGATCGCTCATGTTCGTATAACAGAGGAATAACAGTAGCTGCAAAAAGTTAACAGTTCCATAAGGTTGCAAAACATTTTCTTGGCCGCATTCAATAAATTATAATGCCGTTTTTTCGAAACAAACCCAGCTGCGTACACAATTTTCCCCTAATTTGACGTCATGCAATCTGGGTGCATCGGAATGCAGTCGACCATCCTTCCATCCCGTCTCATTCCATGCTTTGCCAGGTACTCGAGGAATAGTTTGTATTTCTTTCCCTTGCCACGTCCTATTCCTTTTCGATCCCGACCGTGGACCCCCGACTATTGTGAACTTTCAACGGCGCGTGACATCGTTATCCTTTGTACGCGAGGGACACACAAGGAAAAACTGCAGCGACAGTTTCAGCATCCATTTTCCTTCTTGTCTTTTGTTGCGCCTTCTTTATGTTCTTTATGATTTTATGGTGGGAAAATGCCTCCCAGCATCTGGCTATGGCTGGCCGAAATCTGGAGTTCACCTATAAACGGTGAATGTGTTAGCTAATCTGATTTTTCCGATAAGATATAGTCGAGCACTTATTCGATCTAGATTGGAAGTCACGTAAAACACTAGAAGATGCCTGACTTCAAGCTGGCTGCTATGACACTCGAAAATAAAAAAGTATCGTTCCAAAATAATACATTTTTTTTTTTAATTTTATTTATATATTGAAATAATTTTTGGCGCCATTTTTAAAAAGCGACCCTCGGTCGTATCTCTTCTTTGTGTGTACCAGAGAGAGCGACCGAAGCAAGGCTATGTATGGGACGACGACTAATCCAAACGGCTGGGTGTATGTGTAGAAGAAAATAATTGAGTTTGGTTATAATTTCGGCATGATTTTATGGGAAAAATGCTCTCTGCTTTGCATTTTCACTGCGATTTGCCATATTACGTCTATTAACGCATCCATCGCGTTTTATTTGTTTTTACATTGCCATTTATCATGTTCCCTTTTGCGTTTGAAATTCTCCACTGCTCTCTCACCAACACAAACGCACTTTCACATACAGCCGGTGAGCACACGTCGCTGCCGCCGTCGCTGTCGCTACCGGCGTCGCCGCCAGCGCCAAATCCCAGAAATCGATCCAAATTCCTCATACCCTGGAAAAATGTATATTATAGAATTGAGAAAATGTTTGCCACCTTAGGCGCCAATATATGCAGAAATTATTTTCATATTCATATATAATATTTTCAAAAATATTTTCATACTAAATAAACGAAACAGGGTATACAAATGCCCACACTGCGGTTGAAAGCAACAAGTCTTCAAATACCAGCAGCATGTAAGAAATGAGGTGACAATCACTACACACTTTGTTTTATTTAAACCTTGTTTTAGGCAAAACACAATAAAATGGAGTGCTTAAAGTAGCATATCTTGTGGAAAATCCATTCATCAATCTGATAAAACTATGTGGGCAGAGCTGTCTGTTCTATCTAGCTAGTAATATTCGACGGAATATCAAAAACGAGGAATATGTATTATGATGGAACTTTAATGATTCGTCAGTATTTTTGCGGTATATATTTAAAATGAGACGGTATATTTCGGTATATTTCTGAGGGTCAGACGCTATATATAAGTCCGCGGTCACACCCGACCGTACAGTTCTGACGACGTTCCACGAAGGTAGATAATCCCAAAATTAGGAAAAAATATAGTAATATAGAAATATAGAAACAGTGAAATTGTTGATAATAGAGAAGTACAAATATATAGAGGTGTTCCCTTTGTGAAGTTTGTAAACCCCTGAAGAAAAGCTAGTGAGAATTTTAAAGTGTCTGCAGAAAATTGTGGAGAAAATCTCCACAGAAAATTGAGTCTTGAACGAGAGAAAGCGTTGCCATTTTGCCTTCAGGCTGGTGGCGAGTCAAAATGGCTGCCGCTGAAATTTGTTGTTTTTTGTTGTGTATTATTCCTATAGGAAAACTTATCGAATTGTTTATTACAACGCCACGCTGGTGAAATGCGCGCCTTTTCCATATTTCATGCATTTTCCTTTTGTTTTTACTCGGCATTTGCGCTTCCCTTTTCATTCGCCGGTTCCAGAGCGTGCGAGAGCGAGAGAGCAGCAGCACAAAAAAGAGAGCGCGTTTCTCTCTCAATCTCTGATTTCTTTGCACATACATCTGTTTGTTTTGTTTTTTCTCAACAAATCAAATAAAATTCTATAGTCTCAAAAGGTTGTATTAAAATGTGAATTTTTGTTCAACGCCGTCACAAATCCAGCGACGCGAACGACGGCGTCCCCTCTCTTTGTCTCTCAGACCATCTGCCGCCGCATATATTTTTGCACCTCTGCCAACGTCTGCGTCGACTGAGGCAGCGCCTGCTGCTTCGGCGGCCGCCTTCTCCCTGACTAGCGCGACGCCACCTCGTTCAGTTCGAAAGAAACGACAGAGGTTGGTAAACGTTGTCTGAAGGAAAAATATAAAATAATTTAAAGAGAAACACATTAATAGTGTCGGTTAAATTTTACCCCAAGTGCCTGATACAGTTGTGCATTAAAATTCGGGTGTATTCTGTTTGTTAAAACAGAGGCCTCAAGAGACGCGCTTCCCAGTTATTTTTTTGCTTTATCATTCCGCTCTGCCCTAAAGTTAATACCTTAACGCTTTACACGCTTTGTGTGAAGGAAAATATTAAATAATTTAAAGAGAAATTCATAAATAGTGCGGTTAAAGATACCGAAAGTGCCTGATACAGTTGTGCATTAAAAAACGTCTGTATTCTGCCTGAAAAAAACATAGGCCTCAAGAGACGCGCTTCCCAGCTATTTTTCTGCTTTATTATTCCTCTCTGCCCTAAAGTTTATATCAAATAGATTTTCGTTTTCGGCTTGCCAATCACTTTTATGGCTCTTTTACTGGAAAAAATGCTTATTTTCATAAAAAAATGTATCACACTTTGCCCAGGTTTTCCCTTTGCCAATCGTCTTCGTTGCGTTGCTTTGGTGAGCCTGTACCGGGCCCTCGCTATGGCATACAGAAAAAGCAAAGTGTTGCCATTCCGTTTCGTTTTGTACTCGCTGTTTCGCAGATTGCTCTCTGGCTATCTTTGCGGGAGGGAAAATAATATCAAGTGTCTGAAAATTGCCAAGGCTTTGAAACATCTTTAATATTGTAAAACTTCAATTAATATTCGTATTAATTATTAAGTGGCGCGCGCTGTATAAACAGAAACATGCTAGCCAAACATGTCAGAGCGCGCGCGCGCATTTTTTCTCAGCGTCAGCGTTGACGCGGGCAGAAGCAGCAGCAGTATTGCCGTCTCTTTTGGGTCGCCATTGCTTGGGTCTTTCTGTGCTGGTGGTGGCTTCGCTCTCTGCTCTCGCCTTAGCGTTTCGGTACAATAACATGGCGCGCGCTTGGAAAAAATGTGCTGTTTTGAAGAACATTTCAAAGTGCATTTTTACTAGAATCTTAGTTAATTTTATTTATTTTGTATACTAACTTTTTGTTCTTTTCTTTTCAGCTTGAAGCAAGCATAAAATAGTTGTATTACTTCTTACTAAATAGTAAAACAGAGAAAACACAAAATTATTATGGCCGATAAACCAAAACGTCCCCTCTCCGCCTACATGCTGTGGCTGAATAGTGCCCGCGAAGGCATTAAGCGCGAGAGTCCCGGCATCAAGGTCACCGAGGTAGCCAAGCGCGGTGGAGAATTATGGAGAGCCATGAAGGACAAGTCGGTGAGTACACCGAAAGCTAAAAGATCATTTGAGAATCGGTAATAAAATATTCTTCTTTGATTTCTGCAGGAGTGGGAGGCCAAGGCTGCCAAGGCTAAGGATGATTATGATCGTGCCGTCAAGGACTTTGAGGCCAATGGTGGCAATAACTCTGCCAATGGCAATGCCAAGAAACGCTCGAAGCCCGCGAAAAAACCCGCCAAGAAGACCAAGAAGGACGACTCTGACGATGATGATGATGACGAGAGCGAGTAGGATGGCTCTTTCGAGGACCGTCTTGCATTCACCATCAGTTATCCATCACCAGTCACACAACAAAACACTACAGCATCAGTGGATCGAAGATTTTACCTGCTAAACGAACAACACACATTATGCAGTCGCTTCACCAACATTATAATAGAGCAAAAACACACAAAAATCGATACATCAGAAAACCAACACCAAACTGCATCGACTGTTGCAGTTGCCGGCATCGGCAGGTGGGAGAGCCAATCAATCAGAAATAAGAAAAACTGTATTTATACATATGAATTTAAGTTTTAGTAGTCGTTTCTTTTATAATGGTCTATACACAAAGAGAGATAGATGAAACGAAAAGTAGGGGGAAGCACAGCACCTTAAACATGTTTCTCCCAAGCGATCTCTTCTGCGGCGAGGAGAAGGAACTTATCTTGCGTATGAAAATTGTAAAGGAAAAACGATCAAATAATTCCATTAAAAATAAAAATATGAAAACAAGTTATACAAGTGTTCCCCCGGTGGATGTTTTCGATAAGATGCAGGGCTCCAGAGAGTTAAGATTAGAGATCCACACTACACACACAAAGAACACGCCGCAAATGAAACAAACGAAATATCGCTCAGGTCTTTTCGTCATTTTGCATTAAACTTTAATAATGTTTAAACGTCTTGTTATGTAAAAAGATGTGTAGTCGAAGAAGCAGAGGGTAGAGGATGAGTTTTGTGGAGAAAGCAGATGTAATTGCATTTAATCGGTAGATTTAATTGATAATTATACATATAATTTAATGAGAAACGAAACCAACAAAATAAAGCAAGAAATACATTTTTTAAATGCGTTAAATATGGGCTCGTGCCCCCCGACTGTTTCTTTTTTGGCTGCCCTGGCCTGGCCTGGCCTGGCTGGGTCTTCCACATCCGCTTCTTCCCCCCATCAAATTAACTAGACAAAAAGTGAGTAAGCCATTTGTATTAACCTCTTGTTTATTTTAAATATCAATACGAATTCAATGGATTTTCTCCGTTTCAGTTGGGATTTAGTTCTATATATTTATCTATATATATCGAATGGGTTAGCACCCCAAATACCTTTAGATTTCTTGTCTTCACTTTGGGATTATCAATGGTTAACAAATCTAAAACACAACCCTACAAACAATATCTATCAACTCAGTGCAATGGATGATGGTGCACTGCTGGGTTGGGTTTGGTGAAACATACACAGATTAAAGCTTAAATTTATTATGGTGTATATTGATTGGGCACTCTCCTTTCCTTCAGTGGTTCCAGATATTGGTAATTAAGTTAAGGAGTCCTTTGTTTTTTTTTCCAGTTTTCCACGGTGGACAAACAGAGATGGTGTTGCGCTTATTTTATTTTAGAGCTTAAACTACGAATTATGGCGAACAAAAAAACAAAGTCTCTCTCAGAGCCAATCCACAAAAAGTGAAACAAATAGGGTATGAACGAAAGAAGCTGTTCCAAGGGGTGTCCAGTGGGTGAGTCTGTGCCATTTTCCACATTTTCCATGTGGACCGAAGCACCATACGGAGAGCGGCATTGAGAGCAGCCCTGCCCCCGCCTTGTCCCTCTAATTGCGATTCAGCCAGAATATTGTCTTCAGCACAAAGTAGGCCAGGCCCAGGCAATAGACGATCTTCTCCCGCTGCATACGCTGCTCGTTGTTGATCTCAATGTTGAGCACCCGGCGATTCAGCTTGGCCAGCTGGCGGCGCAGATACAGGATCTCTTCGTGGGGCGTCAGCTCGCCCATTGGCGTGCCCTCGCGCTGGGCCAGCATAGAGGCATCCAGATTGTTGTGCTGCTGCTGGTTCAGCTGAGAACGCTTGCTGGCACTGCCCGTGGTTAGCTGTGGGCAGAGAAGGATTCGGGCGTTAATGCGGTTCATCAGTTGGTCAGACGACCCACAGATATCTTTTGATACACCATTTCAAATCGGAAAGTACAAAATATATCATATAGATTCTCGTGTCTCGCGTCCAGTGACAGTTCGGGTCAAGCATTACAAACAACTAACCAAAAATTTGTTGTTTAAGAAAATTTGTGTAGTAAACCGTATTTTTGGCCAGTACAATGTCACATCAGCCCTTTCCCCACGCCAACGATGAGGAGGAGCCGCCCAAGCTGGAGCCCATCATCAGTGCGATGAAGTGCGAGCAGACCGGACACATCATGGAGGCCATCCTGTTGTACGAGGAGAGCATCTATAAGCTGAATCAGATGAGCGAGGCGGAGCCCAACAAAAAACACCTATGCGGCAAGTATATAAAGGTATACGAGACCCGCGCCAAGCAGCTAAGGGAGCAGGTGAAGAGCCACTTGCAAAGCAGTCGGGTACTGGACCACATCAGCATCGAGCGCGATTCGCGCGGCAAGAGCTACCAGCGCCTGTTCGGTGCCTATCTGGACGACAATGTCAAGGAGGCCCACATCAATGAGCCGCACCTTACGGACCAGAATCACATTCGAAACCTACTGAACTTCCTGGAAGTACTGGTCAAGAACTGTCGCTATCTGAAGTACATTCGTCTCACCACCCGTCCGGATCCCGTTATGCCCAAGAACCAGCAGCTCATCCTAGAACAGATACGCTCCGATCTGGCCACAGGCAACATTCAGCTGCACTACCAAATGGACGACACCCTTCACGACCGCAAGATCGTGCTCAGCTCTGGGGTGGTCATCAAGATTGGTCGCGGTCTGCACTACTTTGAGGCCAGTGACAATAGCCACACTCTTGGCTTGTGCGACTTCGATTTTCGCAAGTGCCAGGCCACCGAGGTGGACATCTGGAAGTGTCGGGCCTTTGCCAAGAAGCCCAAGAACCCGGGCGAACCACAGAACGACGTGGATGAGGCGAGCGCCGAGGCTGAACCAAACGGCTACTCCAGTGACTAGGGAGAGGGCTACTTATCACCCGAAATAGTACTAGAAATCAATAAAAGCAGCAGTCGTTAATCTCTAACACACGGTCTGAGTGTTGAGCGGGGCGTACTATTACCATAGTCGTCGATCACATTTCGTCATGGCCTGCATGCGTTTGCTGATAAGTCGAGTGGCTTAACCCCAATTGCTTACCTGCGAATCGGACTCCACAGAGTTGGCATCGTTGGTGTGGAAGCCCATGCGGGCTGTGCCATTGGCGCGCACGTATTGAGTGGCATTCCCCTGCTCGTCCTCGTCATAGTCCTGATCCTGCCCATACAGGTGATGGCCGTTGGCCCTGATGGGGGAACTCTCCTCGGAGGCCGATGGGAAGTGATGGTCGGTGAGTGTGATGACGCGCGGCGGCGTCTGGACGCGTGCATAGCTCGCCGAGGGATTCTTGGGTAGAATAGAGTTCTCCAGCTGTATTTCGCGCGGTGCCGAGCGCGTTTCCAGATGCTGATTGTGCCCGAGCACCACAATGCGGTCGGGCACATTCATGTCGATCTTGTCGTGATAGTTCCAAGAGCTGATGAACTGATTTCCGTTCTGGTTGGACAGCAGTAGATCCTCGTCAGAGTACTCGCCCGTAGCCTTGATGCGCTTGGGTACGCGCATTTTGTCGTTGATTTCGTGTGCGAATTTGGCCTCGTTATAGAGATCGTCATCCAGCCCATTGAACATAGGTGTGGGCGATTGGGGGGTCACCATTGTGCTTTGCTTCTGGCGGGTTCGCTCGGGGGGTCTGGGCCTCTTCTTGGGGGATTTAACAGCAATCGATGTTTTTTTTGTTCAGTTTTGAGGAGGCGGTGAGAGAGACGTTTTCAGAACAAATTAGGACATGGAATTTTGGTTGTGCAACATTTTGCAATGCGAGTTCGTTGCTCCTGTCTTGTGCGTGTGTTTGTGTCTACTTACATTGTTCTTTAATGACAGGAAAATAATCGCAAATTCTGTATAAATTTAAATTTTTTTCCTGTCTTTTGTTATGTGTATGAGGGTGGCCAGAATGTGCTAAAAAATACCGAAAAGTCTGGTACAATGCTGTTAAGAAGTGTTCTAGAGCTGTTGTTATCTGTACTATTCGATAGACTTGATAACTGTTGGCGCGTTTTTAAATAAGAATCTAGCATACCACAAAATGATATTTTGTTCACGGGGTTATACCTTGAACAAAACAAAAAAATATTCATGCTTTTAACTGATTTAAATTATGTTGAATTGCATTTATGTGAAATAAAACCGCACACCAACATTCGATTGCTAAAAATACATTCTGTGCTGTTAAACGCGAAGGCAACGAACACCAAAAAATACCAGAACACGATAATTCCAACGCGAGCTTTCCGCGCTCTTTTACAACAGAACCTTCGGCCGCAGATAAAAAGGGAGTATTTGAAACAAGCCAGTCAAGAAGGGCAGGGCTGAAAGTTCTATCTAGCTAGAAATATTCGACGAAATTTCAAAAACAGGGAATATGTATAGTATAACTTGAATGCGTTGGTACATTTACGGTATATTTTAATAATGAGACGGTGTATTTTGGTATATTTCTGAGGGTCATACCGTATATCGCAAACCAAGGGCCACACTGTTTACAACAACGCCGCAGACGCGCGTCTTTTTTTTCGAGTGGCTTTTTGCAGCATTATACGTGAACGTACCCATAAATCAATTAAAAATTAAAGGAAAAAGTAAGTAGAACAGTTATTTGAAGATTAGAAGCAGAAGGATCAGAGCGATACCAATTCTAACGACGAAGGGAGTGTCCAGCCCCTGCGCAGCTTTACCGCGGTTGCCGGGTACAGTCGCTCTGAGACGGGGCTCGTTTTCAGCGCGCCAAACTGCAGACACAAATAAATAGTTTTCTCCGCGCTCTGCGGATGTGTGTGTGTGTACGATAACTATAAATAAAATATAGCACTCGCCTTTATACATATATTAATGCATACACAAATATCGGTACTTTGTTACAGCACGTTTTTGGCTAGAAATCATATAAATCTGACATGGAGCGACGCCTGAGACGCCCGCGTCGCGAGGAGGCTGCAGCGGCACCTCTCGCCTCCACACAGCCTAGCCTTCTGCCCGTTACCAGGCGGGCTGGCTCAGTGGCAGCTGCAGCAGCCGCCACTGGCCCTGCGACCCGGACACGTGTCTCGCCCTCGCGCAACAAGGTCGTTCAACCGATCTCTGAAGTGGAACTGGCACCGCGCACAAGGCGCTCCAGCCGTCCTCGCTCCTCGGTCGGACCGATGACTTCCTCTCTGCCCGTCAAGACATCGGTCAAGTCGCCAACACCCATCAGAGAGGTCCCTGAGGTGAGTGTAAATCCGTTTCAACAGTCAATAAAGTCGCTATCAAAATTCAATCGCTATCGGTGAGCCATTATCTTAGCGAGGGTCAGCCCTGCCTGGAATGCTGAGAATTATCAGAAAAAGAATGTGCTTTAGCTTCGATCAGCGATATAATCCATGAGAAGCTCTACTCACGGCCCATTCTTTGCAGGTATCCTCGCCTGTGCGTCAAGCGACCAGCAATTTGCCCATGACCCTTACCACCAACACCGCTAGCCGTGCACCCAACAAATCCTTTAACACCAGCTCCGTGAACAGCAGCAGCGCGGTGAACACCTACAGCAGCAGCAGCACAACCACTGAACACATTGAGATACGCACCGAAGGCGGGGGCGAAGTGGACATCGACGCCATACGCAAACGCATCACAGAGAGATTACGGCGATCCGTGTCGAAGACCTTTTCTAGTTTGGGCGGAACCAAAGCCACCAACACAGACGATGGCAGTCGCTATAGTAGAAGTTTATCGCGATCGGTGTACGAAGACGAGAAGTCGTCGAAGCATAGCTACTCAACGGGGGAGGAGGACCTGTACGAGGAGGATGAACTGGAGGAGGATGAGTTCCGCAGCTTCAATGCCACACTTCAGTCGGCCAATCAGGGAGAGACCTCGTGTCGCCAGATGAAGTCTCCTAAGGAGTTTGGCGGCTGGCTGGGAGCCTTCCTCCTGTTGGTTGTGGTGCCCTTTTGTGTCTACTATCTCACCTGGAGCTGCGCGGCGCGCAACAATTGCCAATTCAAGAACGTTAATTTAGCGGTTCTGGTGGACTGGAACTATCTGGCGCGCCAGGTTTTCCAAATCCGAGTAGTAGGCGCCTTTGTGGCATACCAAGTGGCTGTCTTCCTGCTGGTGGCCCTGTTGCCGGGACGGCGCGTACATCTCACACGGGAGACCTACAAATTCAACTCTTTGGCAGTGGCTATGGTCCTGATCATAGCCGGTGGCTATGCCGAGTATAAGAAGTATCCCGTCGTGAGCTATATACTGCGTCACTATCTGCGATTCTGCATCTTTGGGATAGTGAGTGCTTTCGTTGCGGCCGCCTGGAGCTATTGGCGCGTGGACACCGCCAAGTACAATGTGCTCAGGCACAATGTGTCGAACGAATACGGTCGCACCGGCAACTTTGTAGTGGACTTTGCCCTCGGCAGGCAGCTGAACCCCAAGTGGATGGGACGAGTGGACTGGAAGCAATACTACTACCGTCTGTCCATGGTTAGCACCCTTCTGTATGCGACATGCTACATCTACCAGACCCTGCAGTGGCCCAAGCCACATCCGATGACGGACGGGATCACCTTGGCGCGCTATTACATTAACAATACCCACTACGATCCGGCCACATTGCTCTCGGCCAGCTGCCTGCTGCTCTACGTCCTCGACGCGGTTGTCTTTGAGCACCATTTGAGCTCGTCCTTCGAACTGCAGTACGAGGGCTACGGCTGCCTCCTGCTGCTGCGCTATGCCGCCACTCCCTACCTGCTGACCGCCGTCACGAAATACTTCTACGATCAGCGCGTGCCCATCACCTGTTGGTATGCCCCCATCGGAGTCGTCGCCCTGCTGTTGCTCGGCCTCTGCGTGAAGCGCTTCAGCAGCGCCTACAAGTACAAGTACAGGCTTAACTCTCAGAACCCCATATTTTCCAACATCGAGACGATTCACACCTTCCAGGGCAACCGCATCCTGCTGACAGGCCTCTGGGGCCATGTGCGTCAGCCCAACTACTTGGGGGACATCATTGCCTTGGTGGCTCTGGCAGCACCCATGTCGCTGCGTCTGGCCTGGCCCCCAGTGTTGGGGCTGGTACTGCTAGTCCTGGTGCTTCTGCATCGCACCACGCGCTCGAATGCCCGCAACCATGCGCGCTACCACTCTGCATGGAATCGCTACTGCGCCCGGGTGCGGTACTCCATTCTGCCGAGAGTCTTCTAAGAGATAACACTATTATTTATGAAATTTTCAGTTCAGTTTTGTTTTTTATTTCTGTGACCATTTCGTCTTTAGTTCTGTATTGATTTACATTGTGTTTCGAATTGTATATATCAATACTCGTGACTCCATTACACACAACACCATCTCTCATTGATTTTAGTACAAAATTTGATTTTATTCTCACCAACGTACAACCGACGGACACTTAACACTTAAATAAGCTTAGTTAAACCCACACAATTGTAGCTCTATGAACATCTGTCTGTATAATGGGCTAATATACGCTTAAGATTTAGAAGCCATAAATATTCATTACTCTCTGTATAATACACGTACGAATAGGAAATAATTTTTATATTTAAATATCAATTAAATAAATTCGTAGTTTCTATACTATAAAGAAACGCACAACGAAGGTTATCATTATTGTATATCTGAATGATATCGTCAAGGATATTTTTATTTTGAGTGGTTGCTTATCTGAAATATCTGGATAATGGGTTAATTGTTTGCTGAAATGGACCCAAAAAGAGAAAATCAATTAGAGATTAATGTAGGCATTATATCTGTAAAAAGGAGAATTAGAATATAACTTAGTCGATTATTTAAAGATGAAGCTTAAACTAAAGTGCAGACTTTGCATGTCTATAAGGTCAAGATCGCCCTTAACTTGATTTCAAGTTGAATCCAAATATAAAGTATGATGGAGCATATTTCATGCCTTTTGCCACAAAATGTGGTTGATGATGATGATGAATGTCAGCCAACGAATAAAAGAAGTAATTTTGTGTAAAAATGCCCCTGCTCACTGCCACCCCTCGCTGCTGCCACACCGCACAAAGTTCTGTGGTGTGGGCGTGCCCCAAAGCCGTTACAACTGTTAATGACATTTACGAATGTTTGCAAGAGACCAAAGTTGCTGGAACCACCCGTCTCTCCCCTCCATCTAGCACACACATAATGCCAAAATAATGACGAAGTCTGGCTTGCACCTCCGTCCCCCAATGGCAGCCCCCATCCCCCCCTCTGCCCTACAATAGAAAAATGACGCGGAAACTGTCAAAAAAGAAAGCAACAGAAAATATAGAAAGAGGCAAGCAAACGCCAGCGCCGGGCCGACATTTGCGGTTTGCTATACAAATGACCGACCACCGCCGCCGCCGTCGACGCCGCCGTTGCCGACTGCCCCGCCCACTTGACGAAAATTATACAATAATGGCGTCAACATTAGCAAATTGTGGAGCTTGTAGAGCCAGTTGCCATTCAGGCAGGGAAACAGCTCCCTGCTCCCTGCTCCCAGTCCCCGTCCGGTAGGTTGTCCTTTAATGAGCGTTTAAATTGGCGGATCCTGGTCCTGCCACTGCGCATGGGGTGAGATTTTGCTTTTTGTGTTTTTTTTTTCTTGATTGATTGCTGTTTGTGGTGGTTAGTTTTTGGGTTGGGTGAGGGGGAACAAAGCGCATAAATGATTACAACAAATATGCAAATTTAACCCAACAGTCATGGGGACAAGCACTGGAAAACTATGTACATATTTGGTTGCTTCAAATATTTGTACAACTTTCTCACATGCTTTTAGAAGTGGTTAAGTATCGAAGCGAAGGAAAGATCTTGTGACCACGATCTACAATTGAGCTTCCATCTACTGGAACTGCAATTGAGCCTGGAATTAAGCTTGCTTAAAAAGTTTCGAAAGAGAAAAACAAAGAAAAGAGAAAACCTCAACTCTCTCACCTGGACACACACACACACACACAGACACACTCACACACACGCATAAATCACGCCTTTTGTCAGCATCAGATAACGTTTGGCATAAATTTAGTTTTAATTGACTTAATGCTTGTACTTTTATCAAATAATTAATTACAAAGCAGACTGTGGGCAACACCCAGAGAGACAGTTTAAGGAGCTTCGTGTGGGAGCAAAGTTGGGTCAAGCCGGGATCTCCCGTTCCAGGTACAGTCTGTCCAGCTTTATCTGGCACTTTTCTGTGGGCGGCACTCAGCAGTCAGTCTCTGCAGTTAGTTGGCGCACCAGTTGGCCAGCAACTGCAGTGTTTGCTTTGCGTGGGCCCCTCCACTCGCTTTCAATTATCTAGTTTTCTATAAATTTTCTTGGTCGCAGTGGTCGTTGTCAATGCATTTTGTTGGTCTGTAATTGCCCCTTGTCAACAAGTCGGGGCGCAACCAGTCCAGAGATCGATATCGTGGTCGTTTGCCACTATTTTTGTTCTGTTGGGAGAGCAATAAAACTGTTATTGAATGTAATTAGCTTCGTAATGGGGTTATTTATGTATGCCATTTCTTGTTTATGAAGTGCAGTGCAGTGCACTGCAGTGAACTGCAGTTTGTCAACGCTCTGTTTTGATTGATTGATTAATGGATGTTCTGCAAAATGACTGGAATGGAATAACAAATTGAAACTCGAAAGTGGAATTGAACTTTCCTTGGAAGGGGTTTCCAGAACTCCTTTAGCCTTGAACCAACTTCAATGGCAAACCAAGTGAAAAATGAGAGGGTAGAACATTAGCCATTCACCTACGAGTATCTGCATCACTGGACCGCCCCAGAAACGCTCCAATGCCAACTTTGGAAGGGACCTTGAAAAAAGCGTCAAGCAGAAAGCTCTTGACAAGTTTTGTCAGCCAACAATGGGACACGTAGCCTTTGTTCGCCAGTGTCAGGACCTGCACATTCATCTTCGTCAGGAAGCGGGCTAAGTTTGCATTTAAATTGGTAATTAACACGGAATGAAAGCGAAAGCCAGAAAGAGCCAGAAAGAAGAAAAATGCGATGCGAAATAAACAGGAATACAAAAGAACTAAGCGAAGGACTGTGGAAGCAGCGAAACGGAAACAATCAACTAGCCGAAAGATAACAAATGTGGGCTAAAGAAACAGTAGGACAGTCACACATTGAAGAAATGGTAATGCCAAGGGCAGGATATCATTTTCGATTGCAAAATTGATTGTCAAAGCGAGGGCGTAATGGCTACACTGAGTGAAATGGGAAATCAACCTTACACATACATATGTACAATATGTACCTACTATATTTAACTTAATTTTACTCTTGGTTTTAAGTGAAGTTGTGCAGTCAATCCATCATTTCTTCCAGTGTAATTGGCTGTAAAATCTCACCCAGTGTAATAATCCCGTTGCTTCTGCCAGCTGCACTTGCTGCTGCTGCTGCCTCTGGTTCTGCTTCTGCTTCTCCGACGTTATCATTTCATTAAATCAGAAAACGGGAACAAAACAATAAAACGGTACAACAACAAGGAGAACGAACGATTGCCAAAAGACAAAGCGAGAAAAACGTTTCGTTTGGGTTCTTCCTCCTCCTTCTCTCCCACAAACACGACTCTCTCTCTCCTCCAATGAACGCTGCCAATTGAATGTAAATGAGAGAATGGGTGGCGCTGTCAGCTAATCGGATAGGAATGGATTGAGAGTGGACAGCGCAGAGGCAGAGGCAGAGAGGTAGAAGCTGGCTTTTGTTGAGCAGGTCATCAATGACAATCGAAGAACCTGACGACTTACTAGACGGAAATTGTGAATGGAAAACCTGAGCTCTTACTAGGCAAAACTGTGTACGGAGGACCCATGGTCAGATGCAATTGCCTTTGTTAGCCATCAATCCAGTGAATAAATAGAGATGGTATGAGAGTGAGAACTATGGATTTGATGGGGTACAATCTTTGATTTCCTGCCTTACTGTCAGCTTATGAGATTATGGTAATTATCGCCGCTAATGTTGGTTCTGTTAATCGAAAGGATCATTGGGTATCGATTTGGGCCCTAAAACAAACCCCAAAAAATATCCAATCGTACCAAAATTAAGTTTCCAATCCAGGAAAAAGTCAATTGCATGCATATCCTGCAACAGCAATTAGTAAAATTTCTTGGCCAGAAACAGAGCAAAGCATACCTGACCGAAACCCATTACCTACTCGACTTGGCCATAACCGTAACGTAGAATTGGATTGTGGGGGGGAAGTCGGAGAGAGGGACATAGTGTGGAACGAGTGAAAAAGAATGAGCACAGGCAAAACAAACTTAATTGTCTGCACAGTTTTATTTACTCCGTAGAGGGACGGACAGGACTTACCATGTCCTTGCCCTGCCCTGCCGGAGACAGATAGATATGCCATAGAGGATGAGATGCGGCTGCGTCTGCTTGTAATTACTGTGCAACGACGAGTACTGGGAGCAAGCAGTCCTTCGCCTCCTGCACCCACTTAACGAACATGACCAAGACTGACCAAACAATAGGCCTCTGTCTCTGTCTCTGGGCCTGACTCTGAGCACTGGGCACTGGCCACTGGGCACTGGTTTCAACATGCACGGCTCGTTGCATGGATAAGTGATGCAAAGCCAGCCCCCTGCCATCCATTGTGCCCTGGGTCTTGTTTAATGCCAACACAATAAACTTGGCCAAAAGGTTGTTGTCAATGCTATTACTGCTGGTGCTCTACGGGCAGCCGAGGGAAATGGATTCCTGTCTATGGTTGGCCAGGCACCGACTACAAGTCTGTGGCTATGTAGTAGGTGTTGTTATCATATTTGCATCGTCCTGGCCCTGGTGCTGGTGCTGATGCTGTCCTGGTCCCCCGGTACCGGTTCCTCCTGCCAATAACTCAATCACCGACGCACTGCAGTTGCCCGGGACCCATTCATCATCGGTAGACAAAATATTAATCGCTCCTGCCCTTGCACTTGCACTTGCACGTGGCTAAATTGGATTCGAGCGCGATTATGTCACGGCAGCAAGGTTACAATTTATAATTGTCAAACGTACGAGCGATGTGCGGATGCATGCCAACTGCCCAGACAAATGGTATACGAGCATGGCAGTCCCCCAGTCCCCAGGATCCCCAAAGCAAATTTTCACTATACCCGTGATTTATGGCCAGAGGAAATTGACTTGTGATATATGATTCCCGGTGCAGCCAAGACCTTGAAAAAGCTGCAACAAAGGCAGTAAGTTTTATGGAATGGAAAGTGTTTCCCATTCACGTGGATATACCCATGATAGTATCAGTGATTTGTTTCCTAAAAGTGGTTTGTTCTAAGCATAAAAGAGTCTTGATCTACAGGATAGATGTGTCAAAGAACACTAATAGTCAGATATCTCTGGTGACCAAAAGAAGCCAAAATGTTCTGGGAATAAATTTTGTACTATCAAAAATATTAGAAAACTAAAAGACATCCAGGGCAGAACCATTGAAATCGTTGCTCAATAGACAACTCATTGAACATGAATAATGTTCTACTGTAAGCCGACATCTTGGCACGCCCACAAAAGGTCCTCGAGGGCGTAAGTGAATTGGCCGAGCCATG